CCCCCCCCCCCCCCCCCCCCGCCGCTGTTCTCCCCACTCATCAGACTCTTAAGGAGCTGTCACACCACCCTGACGAGCGAGAAAGAACGAGAGAGGGGCCTTGTCCGACCCATAGAGATGGATGTCTCAGAGCGGTCGCGGCAGGGAAGCAAGAACGGACCACAGACCAGACATTTGCATGGTCCCGGTGCGTCCCTACATCCAGCCCGCACACGTGCCGTGCCATGAGAAAGGAGAAAGGATGGATGGCACGTCCCTGCCCGCCCACATCATACATATGACATGACAATGTGACACACGAATCTGCGTGCGCGATTGAAAGAAGAAGTCCTCACAACGCACGCACATGCACGGACGGCCGGCCGGACGGACAGACAGACAGACATGCAAACCCAACGAGAAAGTCTCCCCCACCCTTTCTTCCTCCCTCCCTCCCTCCCTCCCTCCCGATGTCCTGGCGGGCAGTGGCGGCCAGACGGACGCATCAACGCCACGAAAGCATCCATCCACAACATACCATCACCGCCCCACACCACCCTGGTCGCTGGTGCACACGACACACAGGTCGGTCGCCTCTCTCTCTCTCTCTCTGTGTGTGTGTGTCGGCACCCACCCAGTCGCTCCCTCACACGCCCATGCACACGCACATGCATCCACACACATCCATCCATCCATTCATCCATTAAAAAGAAGAACCACCGAACGAAGAAATCGTCTCCAGTGGCCGGCCACCCATCCGTCCCCACCCCATGCATGGGTCAGGGTCACTCAATCAGTCTTCATATCTGCTTGGCGCGAAGGCTCTGAGGGTGTCTTCTACGTTGACCCCCTGCACCGTCTGCATGAGCTTCCACAAATCAAGCAAAGCGCCCATCCGCACCATCACAGCCGGAAGAGTGGTCGGGGCAGGCGGAACGGGGGCCGGAGATGCTTCAGACATGGGAGATGACGGCTGAGCTGCTGCTGCTGCTGCTGGTGGCTGTGCGAGGGCCGCCTTGTGTCCGAGCGGCGAGGTCAGGGTGATCTGGGGCGACTTGCCACGGGCAGATTTCACCACATCCTCCTCACGTACACCATCACGACGGTCGCCCCACTGCTCGTGGGCGTCAACATTGGGCGGCGCGCTCTTGGGCTCTTGCTGAATGGGGAAGGGAGGCGGGGCTGGGGGAGGGGGCGCGCCCAGCAATACACAAGAGGAGGAAGACGACGATGCCGATGCAGCACCAGTCCCATTGGCAGCGTCGTGCAGTCTCTCCCAATCCGTCGGTGTCGACCCCTCAGGCAGCGCAAAAAGACGGGGCGACACGGTCGATCGCCCTCCCGCCCCCGCCCCTCCCCCAGACCCCGTGTGCAGCGACAGCGGCAGGCTGCTGTGCCGGTTGAACCCTCGCCACCCCCCATGCCCATGCCCATGCTGCGCCGCTGACCCCGGCGACAGAAATGACCCGGACGTGTGGGCTCGCCGGTCGCCACGAGCACGCAAGCCAGCGGTGGTCTTGTCCGCCCCATTTGGTTCGTCTTTGCCCCACTCGGCTTTCTCATCCACTGGCGACACAATCGGGCTGGCCGTGTCGAAGCCGAGGGCCGCCTCAAGGTTGAGCTTGACGCGGTGGCTGGCGGGGCTGCGGGGGTCCGCACCCAGGATGACGGGCGTCTGGGGCGTCGAGATGGACGGGCTGCCCTGCTGCTGGTGCTGGTGCTGGTGGTGTGTGGCGAGTGTGTGCCTCCGGCGGTAGCTGCACGTCGTCGTGGTATTGGTGACGGGGTGCGGTGAGGCAGATAGGGGAACGGGCTGCTGGCGTGACTTGTGCCGGATGATGCCGGCGAAGCGCGCCTGCTCGAGGGTCAGGCCCTTCAACAACTGGAACTTGGGAAACGGCGGACCCTGCACACAACAGACAACACGCACGATCGTCCCCTCCTCTCTCTCATGTGTCGCCCACGCACCCACACACCCACCCACCTGTTCCTTGACCGCCTCGTAGACATCCCTAGCCACCCCAGTGCTCTCATGCCACCCCGGCAGCGGCGAGTAGGCGCCGCCCTTGCGAGTGCGACAGTGCGGTGGGGCCGTCATGGGCGTCACGCACTCGTCACCCACACCCGATGGCGACCTGCCTCCCGCACCAGCTACCTCACCCTCTTTGGCACGCTGAGGAATCGCCACTGACAGCATCGCCCGCTGCCGGCGGTCAGCCAGGGAGCTGCCCATCGCACCACCAGCAGCAGAGCCCTTGGCCATAGCCTCGTCAACATGCGGCACGTGAGTCTGCCCAGCCGGGAGCGATATCGGGCTGTCAGCCAGCAGCGTCCGATGGGTGGTGGCCGCGTACTTGCCCTGCCGTGACGGGAGGAAGCCCGCGAGGCCCGGCGTCTCCTCGCCCGTCACCGAGTGGCTGCTGCATGGCCGGAATGCCGAGGGGTCCGACACCCCTCTGTTTGGATGGTGGTGTCTTGTGTGGTCTTCATGCTTCATGTGCACGTCGAAGCGGTGCCTGTGGGGCTGCGTCCGCTCTCCCGCGTGCGTACTGGGGGAGTTCTCATCAAAATGGGGTCTGGTCATGCTCACGGTCATGGCGCCGTCCAGGTCACTCGTGCTGCTCGCAATCGAGAGGGAAGGGGGGATTCCTTTGCGGCCTGTGTAGCGCTGATAGGGGTTGTCAGCGCCGCCTCGCATTGCCGAAGAAGTATCTTACCAAGACGCTAACGGTAATCTCTCGCTCTCGCGTTCTGGGTGCTTGGCTGTGGATCGGATCATGTCGATATATCCCCGGTATCTCCGACGATCCTTCTCTCCTGCCGATGCCGTTAGCGGGTCGGTCGTGTGGTGTAGAGCAAGAGAATCCGTATATCTTTAACTTTTGAGGCCCCAAGGAGCAAGGCTGGTCGTTTCGGACTCCCTGGAGAAGCATGGCCACGAACGACGTGAAGGACGTTGCCGGGCCAGGCAAAGGCGAAGATGGTGACGCGGAGGCGAGCCCCACTCTGCTGGCGCAGGTTATCCTCGAGTCTCTCGCAGCCGCCGCGACCAAGTCGACGAGGCGCCGTGGGGCTCACAAGTCTAGCCAGGGCCTGTCGACTGCTCCCGACCTCGCCCCCGTCGCTCTCAATGTACGGAGCCAGCACACTGAATGTTTGTGGATTGGAATGGTGAATCAGATGGGCCGTCGATGAATCCATTCAGGTGGCGAATCCGATGCCGTTTGGTCTGATAGCGTTTGGGATGCCCTTCATCATCTTCAGCCTCAAGATGATCGGCTGGGTCGAAGGAGACGCCGCGCAATTCATCGGTATGTACAGCTTAGCTTGTATGTAGAGAAGACAAAGATCCAGATAGACAGACAAACAGACAAACAGCCAGACAGACAGACAGACACACATCAAGTACTTAGTTGTGGCACCTGTCTGCGTACGTCGCTTGTGTGGTGTCTGGCTGGTTCCATAGGGGCCTTCACTCTGATACACTCGGGAGTTGGTAATGAGATGAGACATGAGATGAGACATGTGTGCCGCACCCGTATCTGTCACGGCTGTCTGCCTGTGTGTCCAGGCCAGCTCCTGGCAGGCATTTGCGAGGTAAGTATGAAGGGAAGGAGGGAGGGGGAGAGGCTCCGGTTTCGTATGTGTGTGTCTCTGCAGCTTGTTAAAGGCAACACGCTGGGCCTGACCATCTTCTCCTTCTACGGCTTTTTGACTCTCGGCCTCGGTGCTTTTGACACAGGGTCAGCTAAATTTCCACAGAAGTCAAACAAAGCTGAGCATGCTTTGTTGTCCTGTCTCTCCTACCACACAGGGTGTTGCCTGTGGGAGACGGGCCGATTCAGGATGCCAATTTCGCCCTGGGCATCCTGGTGCTGATTGTCTCGTTCGCCTTTTTCCTCTGCTCCCTCAGAGGCAGCCTCCTCGGCATCGCCACATTCTTCTTTGTCGTCGTCTACGTACGTGTGTTAGTGGCTCCAGACACGAACAGACAGACAGGCTTGTTTATGATGTGTGTTGGGCGTGCGTGTGTCTTGCGCGCATGGATGCGTCTAGTGGAGTCTGGCGTGCGCCGGAGCATACAATGCCGAGATCTATGAGATCGCCGGTGGCTTCAGCTGTGTGGCCGGTAAGTCGGTGGGGGGTGAGGTGACATGGATGCCTTCCCATCTTCATCCCTGTCACCCGCTCAATTGCATGTCTCGTTTGCAGGGTGTCTCGCCATCTACACGGCCATCGCCCTCCTGCTGCACGAGGTCTACCCCGACAAATTCATCCCAGGTCAGTTGAGTCAGTAGACACACGCCCCCTGGGCCTGACAAGACCACAGCAGTGACTCCACCCAACCTTGCTATCGTGCTATGCATGTGCAGGTGTGAGCCAGATGCCGGCCTCACTCCAAGCCAGACTCACATGGCTGCAGCCCAAGGGCAAGAGGGAGGCATACAAGCCCGACGAACCGGGCGAGACTCGCCTCACCGAGGCCCTCACCGAGAAGGCCAAGACGCTGCGCCGCGTAAGTGCGGCCGAATCGGTGGACATCCAGCGGCAGATCCAGGCCTCCCTGCGACGCCTCGACCCTGATGCTAGAGGTGAGCAGGACTAATCCTCTGGCCCCCCCCTTCCCTTCGCTCATGTCTTCTGCTTCCATGGGATGCTGTGTGCATGACACGCAGCGCTCCTGGAGAAACTCACTCCCCGGCTGCTGGAGGACCAAGATCTGCCAGACGCACACGTTCCCGACCGCGGCACGGCTGGGTGGACCGCCCCACATGGTCAGTGAGGGACGGGGGAAGGAGGAAAGGGGGCTGGCTATCTGGGCACGTGTTGCGTGTGTGCGTTTATGGGTGCAGATGCCCGCATCCAGCCGCAGCCCCATGGGCAGGTGGCGTTCGCCGAGATACTCGAGCAGGAGTGATCAGACGGAGGGAGGGAAACACGGATACACATCGACTGTACACCACACAACCACACACGCAAGAGTGCACGGCTGTGTCATTCATGTCACCTATGCTTTATTTCCTTTCCTTTGTACATGTGGGCTGAATGGTGGCCATGGGTGCATAGCTAGGTGAGAGGTCTGTGTGGCATTTTTCGGTTAATTCGGACATTCATCTTTCGTGTGCACCATAAGTACCTTTCTAGACCAGAGTGCATATGCTGGGCGTCTGGGTGTGCGGGTGCACCATGGGGATGATGGCAAAGCCAGATACATGTATGTGTATTGGGGAGGGACACACGTGTATTGGGGGGACATGGGGGAGACACGGCATCAAAGAAGCATCACGGAGACATATGTGCGATTGACCATCCCATGCAAAATCTGTCAAGTCATGTCACGGGATCTCATGCATCATTCGCATACATTACACACAGGGGTGACTCGGTCTGTCTGTCGGACTGTCTGTCTGTCTGCTGTGTTTGGGTCTTTCGATTTGGCTGGGCACGCCTCATCCGGCCCTCACCTGCACCATAGACACGCAAGACAGTTGCCGATACGCACCCTTCCTTCCACCTGCCTCCCTACCTCAGCCCATCATTTGTTTGTCATGGTCGTAGTGGTCGAGGTAGTGGACAGCCATGTGCATGTGGTCGATCTGCTGTGTGTTGCCGGGATTGGGTGGCGGAGGGGCGGGTGTGGGGTGGTGTCTGTCAGCGGCCTGCCTCCCGACATGGAAGCCAGTGTCCAGGCCGGCCGCGAACAGAGACGGGAAGTTCAACGGGGCGGCGCACAGCTCCATCCGCTCGCCGTTGTCCATCCCCTCACCGTCACCTGCAGTATGTGACAAGAGAGGCGGCGTGATGCGTGTGTCAGCTGTGCGACTGACTAACCGCTGTAGGATGGGGGCAGTGCGTTGTCGTCATGCATGTGCAGCTGCTGCTGCTGGTGGTGGTCAGGTGTATCATGTGTGTAGGCTGGGGGGGGTGGGAATGGCACATGAGCAGGGAGCTGACGCGAACAAAATGGACACTCTGCACACACAGAAAGAGGCAGGCAAACAACTTGAGTGCATTCAAGCTTCTCTCCCCCACGACAGCAGAAGTGTTGGTGCGAATGGTTACGATTGTTTCGACGATAGGCGCGCCGCTCGCACGTGAGGCACAACAATGCGTCGCACCCCCCACACCCACCGTACACAATATCTGCAAGCACAGACAATAAATCCCACCCATCCCTCCCTCCCACGCACACACATGCACGCATCGCAGTTACTCACCCTCAGTCGCCCCACACATGCCGCACATGTCGCGGTTCTTCCTCTCCTTCCTCTTCCTCTGCGATCTGCCGTGAGCCTGGGGCTGCGGTGGGGTGGCGGGGCGCGGGGGGAGTGCGCCTCTGTTGAATGAGGCAGAGATGCTGTGGCGCGACGAGGAGGCCGTGATCTCATGCAGAGCGCGCTCGACGTTGTGCAGCTGGAAGCCCTTGGCGTGGAGGAGACACTGACCACACGAGGAGGGCAGCTGATCATGATGTTGTTTGGTATATTTGTGTGTGTGTGTGTGTGTGTGTGTTGGTGCTGACACGCGTGCGGAGGTTGGTGAGCATTGCGGAGACGGCGCTGGCGACGTCCTGGACACTCACGTCGAGGTCCATGAACGACGGTGGCTGCACACACGGAAATACATACAGGCAGGTGTTGGTGTATACATCTGTGCTCTTCTCTTCTCACCCAGTATGTTTGTCGGCTGCCCATGTTGAGTGTGATGAAGACAGCAGCACACGCAATCTGCGATTGTCTGCACATACAATACATACACAGCATGCAGAGGACAGCACAAGGGTGAATCCATGTATGCCTGCTTGCACTCAAGGGTGGGAAGGCTTACCTGAATCCACGACGCACAGCGATGTTGTAGCATGCCAGCGACTCCAACACCAGACTTCTCACACGTTCTTCTGCATGCACAAAGACACACACCCACACACACCACACAAAGGGGGGCGGGATAAGACACTTTGACGAAAGGCGAGATGGATACGGACCGTATTGCCAGTCATCATACATTCCTTCCACCAACATCAGCACGTTGACGAACGTCCACACGTGTCTGCAGATATGACGGCACCCAAGTGCATTCTGCCTGTGGCATGTTCTAACGTCGTTGCCCACGGAGTGGAGGTGACGTCCCATTCGAGGGCCTGATAGAGATGGCACTCGCACGCACAGAGGGTCTCCTTGTCGATGGTCGCCTCCCAGTGCTCCGCCTCCTCAGTCTGGTTCCACATCTGACAGACTGTCCGGTTCCACATCTGACAGACATGTGGCGCCAGCAGCCTGCCGCCTCCGTGGTATCCTTCGGCCTTGAGTGCAGCCCACAGTGAAGCGGCCGCCAGCCCCCACAGATGAGTCCTGCATGTCACACACACAAACCGACACACACAGATGAGCGCCCAAGTATCGACGAAAGGATGGTCTGGTTGCTTCCTTTCTCTCACTGTGACACGTGTGGTGTGATTGAGAGGAATCTGTCGAGCATCTCTGCGGCGCGGCAGGCGGCCTCCACGGGCAGTTCGCCATCTTTCGCATTCCGCCACTCATGTGAACTCGTGATGAACTCGTTGACGATGCTCACCGCCTGCAGGCACACAAAGCCATCCATCCATCCACCGAGATGTGGGTCATGAGTCATGACAGGCAAAAGGACGAAGTGATGCTGGCTGCATTGATTGTTGCATGCCTGTGTCGGTACCGTGTCGCGAGCATTTGTGTCGATGTAGAGCTGCAACCGCTTGTTGCGGATGCTGCAGTAGTCCACAGGAACTGCCTTCACCTTCACACACAAGCCCACAAACGTTAATTAACGGACACAAAGATCATCCATCCATCGCTGCCTGGGTGGATCTCTCGCTCTCATGGTTTCTCACCTCGAGTGCTTGGTTGTGAATGAACATCAGGAGAGCCTCCTGATGCGCGTCTGAGTCGAGCGAGAGTGTGGAGCTGTCCTCAATCTCCTGCGATGGGTGGGCGGCGAACGGGTCCATGGAAGAGGTCTCCATGCCTGTGGATGGAAGTGGAGGCCTATCACCAGCAGAGGAAGCGGCATCCATCGTGCGCCGCCACCAAGCAAAGCTATTTGTGGAGAAACGTTTGTTTACAATGGAGGTAAACCCAGTCAAGCCCTTCTGTTGTCAAGCAAAAAGTTGTTTGGCTGAAGCAAAAACGGTCATTCGCATATATAGGGCGCCACACGCACGCAGACATTGGTGAACGCCCACGTCCTGGCGTATCGTCAATCGCGTCGTCCGCTGTCTTGAACCCCAGCACACGCACTTGGGTCAAGACAGAGGTGGACACGCCTTACGAAAAGCCAGGATGGAGAGAGAAGCATAGAACGAACCCACCACACGTACAGCACCACATCCCATGACGTCATATCTATCTATCCCCCTCCCGCCAGCCCATTGGCTCCATTCACCGGGCCACTGCTGTCGGCAGCCCGAGACCCGTTGGCTGCCGCTCCCGCCAGTGCCTTTTTCCTCTCCTTCTCGGCCTTCTTGCGCTCTCGCTCCTCCTTGACCCTCTGGCGCTCGGCGGCCGCCTTCTCCTGCGCCAGCCGTCTGGCCTCCTTGACGGGATCCACCTCGTCAGTCATGCCCTTGTCCGCCAGCAATGTCACGGTCCGGTTGAACACGGGCATGCCGGCGGTGGCCGTGTCGGGGTCGGCGGCGAAGAAACCCACACGCTCGAACTGGAAGGCGTCGCCGGGCTTTGCGGTGGCCAGGGAGGGCTCGGTCAGCCCGTGCACGACCTGAGAGGACGGAAGAGTATATAATGAGGTGGTTCTTTCTGTGACGTACGTGTGTGTAGTGTGGGAGTGGGTGGGTGGGTGTCTGTCTGGTTATGTTGGTCACGTCACCTTGAGTGATTCTGGGTTGAGGTTGTCCCGCCAGTCGCCTCCCTCAGGCACGTCCTCTTCAGGGTCAGGTTTCGCAAACAGACGGTCGTACAGACGGAACTCAGCTCTGCACACACACATACACACACACACGCACACGCCTACCGTCTTGCTTGCCTCTTGCTCCCTGTGTGTATCTCTCTCAGCCCACTTCACTCACTTCTTGGCATCGTGCGCAGACACCCAGTGCAGCGTGCCTTTGACCTTGCGGCCGTCTGGCGGCGCCTCGCCTCCCTTGGTCTGCGGGTCGTAGGTGCAGTGAACGGCCACGATCTCGCCCGTGTTGCCGTCTTTGATCACGTCAGTGGCCTTGATCCAGTAGGCGCACTTGAGGCGGACCTCACGGCCGGGGGCGAGACGGAAGAACCTGGCACTCGGCTGCTCCATGAAGTCATCCCTCTCGATGTAGAGCTCGCGCGCGAAGGACAGCTGCCGACAGACACAGAAACACATTGATGGGATAAGGGAGAGCGTGCACGACATGACATCCATATATAGGGCAGCTGACCGACCTTTCTGGTGCCCGTGTCGGGGTCCTCGGGGTGGTTTGGGGCGTCCACCTCCTCCACGAGGCCTTCCGGGAAGTTGGTGATGACCAGCTTCAGCGGCACCAGGACGGCGTTGCGCCGCTCACACGTCACGTGCATCTCCTCCCTGCAATCAAATCAACGACACGACACACACATGAATTCAATGAAGAAAGAAGCCATCGAGAAATCCATGTGTGTGTCTATGTGTGTGTTCTGTGACATACCTGACACAGTTTTCAAGCTGTTCGATGTGGATGAGGTTGTCGCGCTTGGCCACGCCGATCTTCTCGCAGAAGTTGCGGATGGCTGCCGGTGGGTAGCCGCGACGCCGGACGCCGCTCAGTGTGGACATCCGTGGGTCATCCCAACCACTCACACGGCCCTCCTGGACCAGCGCCAGCAGCTTCCTGATGGACCAGACAGAGACACACACAGAGAATGCTCCTTCCTTTGTGTGCTGACACGGACGGATGATCGGGCAGTCAGTCCACGGTTTCTTTCCCACCGTTTGGAAGTCATCATGTAGGTCATGTTGAGCCTGGCGAATTCGATCTGTCTGACGCGGAAGATGTCCAGCTTCTCCTGCAGCCAGTCGTAGAGGGGCCGGTGCAGCTCGAACTCCAGGGTGCAGATGGAGTGGGTGATCTTCTCGACGCTGTCCGACTGGCCGTGGGCGAAGTCGTACATCGGGTAGACGCACCACTTGTCGCCCGTGCGGGGGTGCGACTGCTTCAAAATGCGGTAGATCGCCTGATTGATACATACAGTGAACGAACAACCACACACAGCAGACAGACACTGTATGGTATGTCGCGTCTCAACATGTGTGTTCTGTTCTTGCCTCTCTCCCTCCATCCCTCCCTCCCACACACCCCACCCGCCCCCCACCTAATCTACGTACCGGGTCTCTCATGTTCATGTTGCCGCTGGCCATGTCGATTTTGGCCCTCAGGACGCACTTGCCCTCGTCGAACTCGCCCGCCTTCATGCGCATGAAGAGGTCCAGGTTCTCCTCCACCGACCGGTTCCTGTATGGCGAGTCCTGCCCGGGCTTGGTGATGTCCCCGCGCATCGCCCGCATCTCCTCGTTGGTCGAGTCGTCCACGTAGGCGTATCCGCGCTTGATGAGGAGCACGGCCCACTCGAACAGCTGCTCGAAGTAGTCGGAGGCGTGGTAGAGGTGCTCGCCCCAATCGAAGCCCAGCCATCGCACGTCCTCCTCTATCGCATCGATGTACCTGACCGACATATACACACACACACAGCAGCCCACTCCATCCATCCACACCCGCTCTCCTCCTCTATGCTGTCTGTGATGTGGTCTGCTCTTGTGTGTGTCACAAACCTCTGCTCCTCCTTGGTGGGATTGGTGTCGTCGAATCGCAGGTGGCAGCGCCCGCCGAAGGCCTGGGGCAGCCCGAAATTGAGGCAGATGCTCTTGGCGTGGCCGATGTGCAGGAAGCCGTTGGGCTCAGGCGGGAAGCGGGTCACCACCTCCTTGTGCACGCCCTTCTCGATGTCAGCCGCCACAATCTGCTTGATGAAGTTGGTCGACGCACCGACCTCCCCGCCGCCATTGCCGTTCCCATTGCCATTGCCATTGCCCACCTCTCCCCCCACACCGCTTACGGGGTTGGCGGCAGCAGCAGTAGGGTCGCGGACAGCTGGTGCAGCACTCTGCCCCAGCAGCTCCACGCATATGTTCTCCCACCACCGCAGGACGTGTGGGAAGGGCTCCAGGAAGGTTGGTGAGGGGGGGCCGCCGAGGGCAGTGAACGCCGTAATGTCGGCGATGGTGAGTGCATGGCCGACAAGGAAGGTGCGCTCTGACAGGTGGGCGTTGAGGCGCGACAGAACGTCACCGGACGGCGGCAGGGACGAGCCAATCTTGTCGCGGCTGAAGTCAATCCAGCTGTCTACAGCACTGGCTGTCAGTGCATCAGTGCCATACAGGCCGCCCTCTGCCGCCACCGCCGAAGCCTCCCTCGCCAGACATCGTGCCACATTGATGTCCGTCGAGTGGAACGACTCGCCGCTTGGGAGAGTGAGGGCAACGTTGCTGCATGCTGGATCTGGCTCGGCTGCCGCGCAGGGGATGCCGAATCTTGACGACAGGAAGGCGCTGCAGTGCTGGGTGACCTTGGGCGGGCCGGCGGCCGCTGGGTAGCTGATCTTGTACGACATGCTGCGCACCAAGCTGAGGACTGACGAAACGAATCGCCGACGCCACAGGGTGGTCACACGGTGGCTGTGAGAGGCTGTCGCTGCCTCCACTCCTTGTCTGCCTTTCCTTTTCTTTCTGACGGATCGCTCTTCTTTTGCGAGCTCATCTTCGTGGAGGGAGGCGAATCTGTTCGTTCTTCGATACTGGATAGTTGGCCTGGTCTACAGGGCACTTGGAATTGCTTGCTGTTCGGTACGGCGCGGTGTCCACAAGGAGGCTCCTCTGCATCAGGAGCGCCTTCGTTAGTGAAGGTACGTACAGCACGAGCCGCCAGAAAAGCCATTTCACACTCTGAGACAATCAGGGCGTCACAGGCTTGTCTTGCTGTCTCGCTGTCGTGTCTGTGCAGCCCGCCGTTCAACGGCGAGGTGAGGTGCCAAAGTCTTTCAAAAAAGTAGCCAAAGGCGGACCGTGCCGTTGCCAACCGGTGCGGTGCATGCGCAGCGCTGTCGTCTTGTTGGTGGACTGATTGAGTGCCTATCGCCGCCGCCATGGGAGGCGAGTCGCACCATGGCCATCCGGACTCTTCTGCCGCGTCGGAGATTCCAGAGGGTGAGAGAGACCAACACATCACTCTCACATTGACGCGCGTCGTTATGTTGCCACCTTGTGTGTGTGCGTGTGTGTGTGTGTGTGTGGTGGAAGTTGCGCTGGTGACGTCGACGAACCCGTCTCCTCACACTGTGCCCGCCTCCCTGCTGGCCCACCAGCCGTCGCGTGACGAGACGCACAAGTCCTTCCACCACGGTGTGGTCATCCGCCAGGTCTTCCTGCACCAGCCGCTCGACGAGGGCGAGCAGGAGATGATCACCCAGTTCCGCATTCACTGCCGCGAGCACAACTTCACCTTCCCCCCGAGGATGGAGCCACTCCTCCTGCGCATCCTCCTCTACAACAAGCGCAAGCACCCCCACCACTACCTCCACAAGTCCGTCGAGCACACGGTGCTGATGCGCGACTGGCGACGCGAGATGTACCCCGTGAGTGAGGTGGAGGTGCGGAAGGACCTGGAGAGCGGGGTCATGTATTGGGTGGGGCGGGACGCGTCATACCGGCCACTGGCGATCGTGCGGCTGAGTCGGCTGTCGAGGGAGGTCAGGGAGAACCCCGACCGGTTCAAACGCCTCACGGTGTTTGTCTTCGAGTGGGCACTCAGACACGCATTCGTCCCCGGTGAGTGAGTGGACGGGACGAGGGAGCGGAGTACTAAGACACACACACGTGCCCTCTGCGGTGGTTTGGTGTGTCAGGCAAAGTTGAGACGTGCAAGGTGTTGGTGGACCTGAGCAACGTGCCATTGCGTTCGATTCCGATCAAGGTGCTCAAGGACATGGTGTCGACGCTCACCAAGCAGTACCCCTTCCGGCTCGACAAGATGTTCATCGTCAACGCGCCCAAGATCGTCTCCACCCTCTGGGCCATGATCAAGGGCCTCCTGACAGAGGTGCAGCAGCAGAAGATCAACTTCATGAAGGACCACTTCCAGGAAGACCTGCTCAAGGAGTACCACCCCTCACAGCTCGAGCAGCAGTACGGCGGCACCCTCCCCGACATCCAGCCCCCCGCATTCTACCCCTTCGCATTCCCCCCGTCGCCCACCTCGCCCATCCCCCATGTGCCCGACGTGTGGCGAGCCTGCGATGAGACCACCTCCCAGGGCGTGCTGTGGGCGGGGGACGTCCGCACGCCCATCCAGTGGTCGGCAGAGGCCCCGGAGATCTTCAAGAAGTGCGGGCTGACCTACCCCGAGGGCCGGCCCATCCCGCCAGAAGGGGAGGAGCTCATCGCCAGGGCGACCGACCTCCTCTCCTCCCGGCTGGAGGAGCTTCTCAGCGACCCGGCCATCGACCTGCAGGTCCTCTCACTGCGGTTCGAGCAGCCCTCACCCGCACCCGCACCCGCCACCGCAGCCACAGGCGATGTGCGCAAGGTGTCTTCGGCGCCGCCGCTGCCCCCTCTGGCTGCCGATGAGGACACACCAGAAGTGTGTGTGCACCTGGTGGGGGAGGGGGAGGGGGAGGAGGGACAAGGCGGCATGAACGGCAGGGAGGATGCGGCGGTGGAGGCCTCGCCGTCGTCGGATCGGCGGCCCAACTCGAGCACTGTGGCGACGTCTGGCGAGGAGGGGTCCAACAGCCCCGAGGGCACACCCGACAAGAAAGAAGTGGGCAAAGACGGCACCGGGGTGGGGGTGGGCAAGCAGCATCCGGCGGTGGAGGTGGTGCCGACGAAGCGAAACAAGTGCTGTGCGGTGTGCGCCATCATGTGATGTGAAGACATGCCGATGGGATGCATGGGTGGCTGGCCGGCTGTTTAGTGGGGGGTGGTTGGGGTGGTTGGGTACGGGGAAGGGAGGGATGCTACGCTACCATATGTCGTGTGATCCTGGGTGTGGTGTGGTGTGGTGGGTATGATTTTTGTTTGGTGTCGTCTACCGGTGCGAATGAATGAAGGGGTCAAAGGGCGAGGGGTTCTCTGCTTCTTCTCTCCATCGGGGTGTCTGCCTGTCTGCCTGAGTGCGTGCGTGCGTGGTGCACAGAGTGCCGCATGCATGCATGCGATGGCCGTTTGGTGAACCGGGGCTGGCAGGCTGGCTGGCTGGCTGATCCATTTGCGACGGTGCTGATGTGTCTGTCTGTCTGTCTGTCTGTATGGCGTGTGGCTGTATGCGTGTGTGTATGTCATGTGTACAGGGCAGGGTGGGTGCCTGGCTGCCGTAGATGACATGACTGACGCATCTATTCTATTCTATCTAGCACTCACTTTCTCTATATCTCTGTCTGCCCGCGTGGTCTCAATCAAGGGGCTGGCTGGCTGGCCGATGGATGGATGGATGGAATGCGCGATGTCGCGGGCGGGCGGCAGTTGCGTATGCTATGAAGCGAAGCGACAAGACAGACAGTCATCTCTGCGAATCCTCTCGCAGTGCTTTGGCGTTCCAGGCGGCCTGCCCTGATCGTATGGCTGTCGGGCGGCACGGCACGCACGGCCGACAGACAGAAATCTGTTGTGGGGAATATATGTAAAGCAAAGCACGGCGGTAGGGAAAGCTTTGGCCTGTCTGTCTGTCTGTCTCTGTTGTGTGCATCATGATCGATGTGGGGCTTTTCTGCTGTAATTCAGACTCAAATGTCTGTCTGTACGTCGGTCTGTTGTGGAGGGAGACCAGACCGTTTGCGAAGGTGCAATGATGGTCAATGACGGTGAATGATGGGATGGTCTTCATGGCATGCACACAGAGACGACGGACAATGAGTTCAATCTCCACAAGCTGCAGCCTGATCGACCGACGAAGGCGCAAGCTTGAAAAGGCGAACACGATGCTGAGGACGGTGAAGGAGCATCACACACCCTACGTCTTCCTCCTTGAAGCACTGGCCCTTCTCGGCCTCTCGGCGTGGCTCTCCCAAGACATCATCCGACGGCTGCTGCTGGTATGGCGCATGCGGCAGATCCCCGGCCTGTCCATCTTCAGCAGCCCTCTGTCGATACTCTTTCGACCAGATCACTCCACCCTCATCGCGGACAAGGGCGGTCTGGGCTCATTTCTGACGTGGCTGGCTGAGGCGTATGGGCCTGTTGCGTCGTATTGGCACGACGGCAGGTGTGTCGTGAGTGTGGCGCCGACCGAGGAGAATAGCAAGACGGTGAGCGAACGGCGAGCCATGCATGCCTAGCGGGTGCGTCACGTCTGTGTGTGTCAATTGGTGCAGGTAATGCGTCTGAGTGACAGGACACAGCTCGATGAAGTCCGCAGCGCACTGATGGGCCGCACGGGACTGATGTGTCTGGCTGCCGCAGACGCCAAGAAGGACAGGGGGGTCCTCATCCCCATCCTCTCGCACAGCAAAGGAGGAGGACCACCACCCTCGGCAGATGCCGGCGCCATCAGTGGGTCGCTCGAGGCCTTGCTGAGCGCTGAGGTGATGGCTGATTGCGTCGAGCGGCATGTGGTCAGCTGGGTCACGGAACCACAGGGGGAGCCCGTTGATGTGCAGGTGACAACACAGACAGACAGACAGACATGAGGGCACAGACTCTACCCAAAAACGTGTTATGTTCATTCATTCACACGTTTGTGTGTGTGTGTGTGTCATGCAGGCGGTGTTGCCGTCCATGACGATGGAGCTCATCTGTCGGGTCTGCTTCGGACCTGCAGCCACGCCCCAGACCGTCAAGGAATTCCGCACCGCATTCGACGACGCCATCGCAGCCAGGGTGCAGTCCTACGAAGGGTCCCCCGCACCCTCCCCTCTCGCCCTCATTCGCCGGCTCTTCAGCCCCAGGGCTGCTCGCGACCAGGCCTTCTGGACGGCCGTCGGGCGTGTGTATCGCATCCTGGAGGACCTGATTGAGAGAGCAGAGAGTGACAGTGGGGCGGTGACTGTGGTGAGGATACTGCGTGGGAAGGGGTGGAGTGTGGAGAAGGTGCGCGACACGTGCCTGATCCTCGTCCTCGCTGGATTTGACGACGTCGCCGCGGCGATTGGGTGGTCGTTGTACCACCTGGCAAACGCGCCGTCTGAGAAAGACAGGCTTGTACAGGAGCTCGCCAAAGGATGCGGGTGAGAGGAGGGGACGCACACGCAACCACACACGCACAGTCTAACGGTCCGTTTTCTATCCTTCCAGGCCGTCATTCTCAGGGGTGGGCGCGCCCTTCGACCGTGCTGCCGTCGACCGCCTCCTCGCCCTTCCCTTTCTGCACGCAGTGGTGTGCGAGTCCCTCCGGCTGGCGGATGTGGGGGCGGCGTGTGCTCGCTTCCTTACGGCCCCAGTGGAGGTGCGTGGGCGGTCGGCCTCTCGCTATGTGCTGCCGGCCGGCGTTGGCCTGTGGGTGCCCATCTGTATGCACCATGCAAACAGTGACATCTTCACCCAGCCAGAGGCATTTCGACCCAGCAGGTGTGCTGACAAGGGGAGGGAGGGAGGGATGGTCAGTCTGTCAACACAAAAAGGCCAATCTGTCTCGGTGCTGTGTGTGCTGTCATGCAAGCAGATTTCTGCCGGTGTCGATGGGTGGCGATGATTCTGACAGGTCAAAGCACTTCGTCCCTTTCGGCATTGGGGCGAGGAGCTGCATCGGCCGGCCTCTCTCGATGATGGTCATCAAGGCCACGCTATTCCTCATTCTCAGGTGCGTACGAACGGATGTGTGCCTACAGCACACACAATGAATGCAATGCATCAAGAGCCGGACGCATGTATGCATGTATGGTATGTGTGCAGGCGTTTTCCGAGGTTCCGGCTGATGGAGGGCCACCCTCCGCCAGTGACCAACCTGGGCATCCCCAACACCAAAGCCAAGGACGGCATCTCTATCCACTTCGACACACAAGAGGTAACGATTGACACACGCAGCACAAACACGCCCACGCGATGCACACATGACCCCTCCCACGTTCTGCAGGTGACTGGCCCTCCCCCTCCCCCTCCCCTTGCTCCCTCCGTCTCATCGTCGAAGCGTCGCGGCCCCACCATCTCCCATGGCGTCAAGCAGATCTCCCCAAAGGTGGCCCACCAATGGCTCACCTCAGCCACACCACCCGGCTGCCTGCTAGACGTCCGGGAAGATTACGAGACCTCAATCGCCTCCATCAGAGTGCCCGAGGGGGTGACTGCCCTCCACATTCCCATTCACGAGATCGAAATGAGGGCGGGGGAGATCCCGGACGACGGCAGGGGTGTGGTGGTGGTGTGCCACATCGGCCGGAGGAGCGCTGCGGTGGTCGAGTACCTGCGTGAGAAGAGGAGGCTGACGAAGGTGGTCAACCTGGCGGGGGGTGTAGATGAGTGGAGCAGGCAGGTCGACAGTACCGTACCCCGTTATTGACTGACCTGTGTACTTATGTTGGTACCTGGGTGGGTGGTGTGCCTGTGTCTAAGCGAGTGGCGTGAGGGCCGGGCGGCCGTGTGGCAGCTTTCTCCGTTTCGATGGGGGTCGTGTACGCTGGTCTCGCCTCTCTGCATTGAAGATGCGCGACCAACGTATATGGGCGCCATTGATGGGGGAAATCGGCCCATGTGCGGTGCTGCCCGAGTGAGAAGAGTGTAAGGGTCCATCCTTGTCTGGCAAGGTGCTTGGTTCGTCCATCCTTTGTGATCCCTTGCTTGCGGTTTTTGCACGGCGCCTACCCGGTATGCGTGAGTGTCTGGAATGGCCGCGTGCAAGGGCGCTGGATGAGGGGCGAGAGGATGGAGGAGGACCGGACCGTCAGGAGGCTGCAGCTGACATGGCAATCTTAGTGGAAATCAATATCTACTGGATGATGAGCGAGTATACGAGAGAGTGAGAGTGTCAGTGTCACATTCCATTCATTGTCATGTAGCTAGGTAGGGTAGCGGCAGGCAGGCAGGCAGGAAGGCAGGAAGGCAGGAAGGCAAACCCCGTCTCTTATCATCCCAACCTACGTATGTCTACCTCTACACGCATCGCGTCATGTCACACACACAAAGCCAAGCCATGATCCATAAACCACCGCACCGCACCGCACCGTACCCCCACCCGCCACAGTGTTAGGATGAGAAGAACCAACCACCAAAAATAAGGCAATCAATCATATATCTATCTGTCGAGCCAGACGTCCTGTCTGTGGTGTGGTGGGATGTGTGGTGGCGTGGCGAAGTATGTATCTGGGGTAGGCAGGTGTGCATCACCACGCGAATTTGCGATGGAAACGACATAACAGACAGCATACATAATAGAAAAGAACAGATGAGATGGGCGAAAACAGCAGGTCGGTAGATAAAGGGAAGGAAGAACGAGGGGAGGGGCGAGACGTGCGCATGGCGACATGGCTGTCTGGCTGTCTGTCTGTCTGTCTGTCTGTCTGGGGGCTCCCACCCACTTCGGTCGGTTTGGTCGGTATGGCAGGGCATGGCAGGCAAGTGCGATGAGGTCAATGCAGCACCACACCCCACCACGCACCTCACTCACCTCACCCACGTCACGTCTTCCTCCCCATACACACACGTGTTGGGCAATCAATCAATATGGATGGGAGGATATTAATTTATGCTGCACAGAACCGAACCAACGAACGGATGTACAAATATGTACATAAAGGGAGGGACGGATGGATGGATGGATGCCATGGATCAGACAGACAGACATGCAGACAGACAGACAGGTGGCCGGCCGGTCGGGGGCGGTGCGGGGCGGTGCGGTGTTCATTCATTATTCATGTGATAGTACATACAATCAATACATGAAGCGAAGTGAGAGAGAGGAGAAAGAACAATCTAACAAAAATCCGTACCTACGTCGGTCCCTTACCCTGTCTGTCCGTCCTCTTTGTTTCTTTCTCTCATTCCCATTCCTGGCTATCTATCTACACAAACGGTACGGTATGGTATGGTCTGCTACGGCGAAGGAAGCGAAGCTCCTGTACACCACCCCACCGCCCAACGAGCACCCCACGCAACACGCAGACGAGACGACACGTCGGCTGCGTCACTCTTTCGTTCCGCACACCAACCAGACACACCAGACAGACAGACACTCAGACAGACACCAAGGCAGGCAGGCAGGCAGGCAGGCTGGCAGGCAGGCTGACAGGCTGACAAGAGACACACAGGCTGGCTGGCCACACGCGAACACGATGTGCCTCGTCATCCATCGAAAATTGCATCTCGTGGGGACAGAGAGAGGGGGCACGGAACTGCCCACCCCTCCGCCCCACACACACACACACATCGGGGAGAGAGAGAGAGAGGAGAGAGAGAGGGAGAGAGAGTGAGAGAGACATGAGCTGAGCTGAACTCCTAAAAGCAAATCCATTGCCTTAGATAAATAAACACAACACGGCACATTGATTGATATTACAACACGCATCGCATGCACGCACGCAGGCTTATTCCTTCTGCTTCTCCTTCTCGGCCTCGGTGATGGCATCGCCGATGAGTCCCTTGACGCTCTTGCCCTTGACCTGCGCCTTCAGCACGCCCTCCGGCAGCTGGCTCAGCAGCTCCTTGCCCAGCACCGGCACCATCTTCGCCTGGTCAGAGGGGTCGATCGCCGGCAGCAGCCCAGCCACCACCGCGGGCAGCATCCTCTCGTCGGTGGTGTTGATCATGTTCTTGACGAAGCTCCCCACGTCCGCCTCCTGCTTGCCCTTCTTCTTGTCTCCCTCGGACTTCTTCTCCTTCTTGGTCTCGATGACATCGACCTCCGGGATGGGCAGGCCCTTGATGATGGGCATGTCGGGGACACGGATGCCCTTGGCCACGCCGCTCACGGTCTGGGTGATCTTCTCGGCCTCGGCAGCCGCGTGCTGATAGGCGTCGGCGAAGAGCGACTTGACGGTGTGCTTGCCGAGCTTGAGCGACAGCCGGCTGTCCATCTCCTCCTCCTCGGGCTCAAACAGGGCCTGGAGAGAGGGGACCAGCTGCTGTGGATCCAGCATCAGCAAGAGTTTCCTGAAATGGCGACAAGCAGACGAGGGAGAGAGCGAGAGAGATGGGTGACACGTGTGTGTGTGTGTTGTGGTGGTGTCTCTCTCTCGCATGGCGTATCGTACTCGAAGTCCTTGGCGATGGACTCCTGCTCGGTGAATGCGGCAGCGAAGGAGAGGAGGACCTTGCCCATGCTGGATCCGCCGACCTTCTTGAGCTCGGCCTCGGGCTGCTTCAGGAAGTCTGTCAGCAGCTCCATCGACCTGTCGTGGCCCAGCTCGCCGAACAAAGACGAGAGGAAGTAATCCAGCTCGTTGGAGGGGTCAAGCGACGCAACCACCTCATCTACATGACACACACGGGGGAAGGATGTTCTGCGGCCGTGCGTGTGAGCGGCTGGGCTGCCTACCGAACTTGTCGCCAAGCTCATGTCCCTGGTCGGCGACGTACTCGACGAGCCTCTTGACCTCCCCGTCGAGCCACTGGCTGACCTCCTCGGCCTTCTCGACGGTGTCTGCGCTCATGGTGTGGGCCTTGTCGATGACCTGGTCGCCCATCTCACGGACGATGTCGGCCATCTTGACGCCGCCGTACGTGCGAGAGAGGTGGTCGTCCTCACCCTTGGCGAACGGGTCGTCAAGCGTCAGGAACAGGATGAAGCCGCGAACCAGCTCGTCAGTGGCCTTCTCAAACGTGCCACTGATAGACAGACAACACACACACACACACAAAACATGAGGGCTGCACGTACGTACGGGCTTTGTGTGTGGCGGTGCGGTGGTTACGTGAATTTCTCGGCGATTCCCTCCTCCTCCTTGAAGGTATCGAGGTAGGAGGTGAAGACCTCCCGCAGCACACTCATGTCGCCCAGGCCGTACTTGTCCGCCAGGAACGAGTCGCCTTCCTTGGCCACCAGCATCTCCAGGAAGTCAGCTGAGCTGTCGGAGCCGAGCTCAGTGAACAGGACACTCACCACACGGGGGGCCTTCTCAGTGGGCGACACCGCCACCAGCGGCACTGACACAAGCGAACGAACAAACACCCAACACCAACACATGAAGGGAATGGGCTGTGCATATATCGCCTCCACACATCGCCTGTCTTTGAGCTGTCCATGCATACGTGAGGCGGGGATAACTTCATTGAGGTTTCGCTCCGTCCTGTCCAACAGCTCGGTGAAGACCGCCTTGAGCTCGTCCTCGGTGAGGCCGGCCACGATCTTGGCCAGCAGCGGGGACAGGATCTCGTTGACCTCCTCCTCCACCTTGGCAGCCTTGCGGGCCCTCCTGGCGCTGAGGATGAAGCCGCGCACCTCTGACTCGGGCAGGATGCGGGGCATCAGGCCGCCCAGCAGCTGACCACGCAGACCACCCACCGACGGAAGGCCGTCAAACAGACCGCTGGAAGGAAGAAGCAGAGGCGCAGGATGATCACATCACGGGAGAGAAGTGGTGGGTCTGTCTATATTGCGTTGGCGTACCGGACTATGCCGGCTCTCTGGGCAGGCCTGGCGCGGTTGAAGAGGGTGCTGGAGAGCGAGACGGGGGAGATGCCCTTGGGGAGGGAGGGCAGGATGTCTCTCATTAAGCTGGCCGCCTGGTCAATGGGGAACTGGGAGAACATGCCGCCCATCACGTCCTCAAACACCTGCTCGGGAACCGCCTCCAGCTCAGGCGCTGAGTGACCACACAGACAGGCAAGACAGGCAAGGAAAGAAAAGGATTGCGCACTCGTGCTTCATCGTGTGGTGGGCTGGGCTGATTGATCTGTGTTGGCCGACCGATGGTCTGTGCGAGGACTTTTCTGGGGACGAAGTCGAAGGCGTTGACGAAGGACTTGAAGGTGGTGTACAGCTCCTCGGGGACGTCATCGACCTTCTCGATCACACCCAGTGGCGTGAACAGGGAAGACGTGAACTTCTCAAAGTAGCCAAACACGTCGTACGGCACCAGCTTCTGCAATGCGCAAGCATAAACAAACAAACCGACCGAGAACACACAATCCAATCAGACAGACCACCACATGCGCAAACCGCACGCGACCATCGATCGACTCCTGACTGAACTGACCTGCACGGCCACGGCGATCTCATCCTCCTTCCATGTGTCCTTCATGTCGGTGAAGGCGAGCTTCTCCCTCTCGCCCGTCAGCAGCGGGCTGAGCATGACGTTCATGAGAGCGTACATGGACGAGTGGTCGAGGCCGAATGAGGGCAGCTGCTCCAGCACCTTGGGCAGGTTCGCATTCTGCAGGGCGGCCACCGGCAGGATACCCTCAGACAGGGCGCTGCGCAGCCGGGGCGCCTCCAGCTCTGTCACTATCGCCGGGATGGCCTGAAAGTTGCAAAGAGGAAGGGATGGGCGAGACACTCGTGGGTGTGGTGTGGTGTGCTGTGCTGTGTATACCTCGATGACGACTTCGGGTGTGGCGGCCTTGAGGGTCTCCCCGATGGCGCCGGCCAGGGCTGTTGGCTCGAGGGTCGCGCCCCACGTCTTGGCGACGTCACGGATGAGTCCCTCCACATCACTCACAGCACCCATGGTCGACTCTGATGGATGTCATCACACACAACACAACCAATCAGATGTGGTGTGCGTGTCGTAAGGTGTGTGTCTCTTGTCGGTAAGGTCTTACTGAGCATGCCAGGCAGGACGTCCTCGGTGAAGACATCCGGGATGGCCGTGATGATCTCAAGCCCCTCCTTCTCAGGCAGGATGTCCATCACCCGCCCCAGGAGCTCGCCCATCTTCTCAGTCTCCAGCACGCCGCCAGCCTGCTTCAGGAAGTCGTACACGCGGCCCAGGCCAGAGGGGTCCTCTTTCTCCTTCCTGTCCTTGTTCTCCTTGCTGCTGTCCTCCTTGCCGAGGACCTTTGCCACGATGGGGGCCATCTTCTCGGCCTCGAAGGAGAGGAGGAAGCCTGGCGCGGCGATGAGGTCCTCGACGAACTGGTCGAGATCCTCCTCGGCTTCCGTGAGCGCCTCAGTCAGGGACTCCAGGAAGAGATCCTGCGTGCAGCAAACAAGGAGAGATGGGTACCATATAGATTCATGGGGGGGTCGGTCGGTGCTTACCCTTTGGTCGGATTTGGTGATGATGGGTTCCATGACCTCGACGGCCGGCTGGGGGCCCGCCAGCTTCACCAAGGGAGCGAGCGCTGAGGTGTAGAAGTTCTCAAACGACTCGACCTCAGAGATCACCACCTCTGACAGACACGTTCACATCACACGACAGCAGAGACAAGCCAAGCCACGTATGGACACACCCATACCATACATGAGCCCATTGGTCGACATCCTCCTTACCGACGAACTCGCTGAGCTTCTCAGCATCCGGGAGGAGCGCGCTGACGACGCCGTAGCCCAGTGCAGCGGCCGCATCGGCGGGGAACTCGGCAAGGTTGATGGCGCTGCCGAGGAACTCGCCGGCGATCTTGGGCTCGTTCTCGAGGAGGGCGTCAAGGCTGAGGAAGGCCAGGGGGTCGGTGAGGTCGAAGTCCTCCGTCTTGTTGTTGTTGCCCTCCGACTCGTGCCGGATGTGGCTGAGCATGTCGGGGATGAGGGGCTTGATGATCGCGCGGAGGTGCTCGAGGGGCATCAGGCTGTATCTGATGATGGTGTCGATGACATGCTTGATGAATGCGTGGGGGAGCTCGACAATCGACAGCAGATGCTCTGCACAACACACACGCACGCCACACACACACGTTTGCGGGGATGTGGGCGGTGGGGTGTGTGTGTGCCTGGGGAATGGGATGGCCTACTGATGAAAGCCTCGAAGTCGACAGCGGGAAGTCTTTCATGGAGACCCACCAGGACGTGCTCAACGATCTTGCCGATGTCGTACAGCGTAGGCAGGAGGTCGTACAGGACAGTCACAGGCAGGGCGATGAGGGCCTTGAGCGCAGCGGTGCCCTCCGCGAAGATCTTCTCCAGCAGAGCATGGATGTCGATCGACACAGATCTCACCATACCCAACAGCCCGTCAATCAGCTGCACTCATGTCATGCCACACAGAGACACGAATATCATGGCCGGCTGTTCGTCTTAAGGGTGGTGGGTGCTGCGTTGGCTCCCTGACTGACCATGAGGAGGTGGTCGGGCTTGAGGACGTGGATGATGGGCCGGAGGATGTCGGCCAGTGCGGGGATCTCGATCTTGATGGCGGGGATCAGGTGGATGATCGCCTCCACCAGCGCGACGCCGTCATGGATCACCTTGACCAACTCCTCAAACACGGCACCTACACCGACCCACAAACACACACACGCCCCACCTCAATCAATGGCCGCACGGCCCCCGCCCAGCCCCCCGCCATGTGTGTGTGTGTGTGTGTGTGTGTGTGTGCTTACGGATGAAGACTTCTGGGAGCTTGATGAGCTCGAGGGCGGCGGTGAAGAGGTGCAGCAGCGCGTCCAGACCGCCCGCGGCGAAGTCGACGGCGTGAACCACCAGGCCACCGAGCACCTTGTGGACCCTGACAGCCAGGTCCTTGCCAGCATCGGCCAGACGCAGCGCCACGTCCGCGAAGATCTGCATGGCACGGCAAATAGAGACAGACGACGTATTTGACCAGACGCTCCCACTCTCTCTGTCTGTCTGTGCGTGTCGGTCCGTCGTCTGATCTCATCTACCTTGAGGAGTTCCTCGACGTCGATGGAGTGGATGACGCGGCCGATGCACTCAACGACGAGCTCCACGGGCACCTTGCCCAGGTCGATCAGCAGATGGATCAGGTCGCCGAACACAGCCGGGACCGCCACGGCGGCATCGACGAGCCTGATGACGAATCTGCTGTGAAAGATCTTCTCGATGAGCTCGTGTGGGGCCAATTCGCAGATGTCCTTTAGGAGACGGAGGTAGGTTGCGGGGCTGAGGAGCGTGTGGATGTCGTCGAAGAAGAGCAGGTCGCCCAGGAAGTCCAGGACGATCTGGATGTTCTTCGCGTGCACCTTGATGCTGTTCGTCACCAGATGCTTCACAAACTGCGTACAGCACAGCGAGGCGCACATTGAGTCGGTGTATGTGTGTGTGTGTGTGTGTGTGGTGATGTCTTGTCTCGTCTGTCTCACCTCGCCGACCTCCTCAGCGGGGAGTGCACTGAGTGGGTTGATGAGCAGGGAGATGACCTCCTTGGCGATCTCCTCCTGGTCCTCGATGGCGATGATGAGCACGTGCAGGACCTCAGACACCAGGCCCTTGATGGTGGTCTCGCGCTTGAGGTCATCCAGGCTGTACATGAACAGCTCGGCGATGAAATGCGGCAGGATGGGCTTGGGCAGGTGGTCGATGATGGCGTGAGTCAGCTCCAGCACCGCAGTGGCGTCACTCGTGACCTTCAGGAACTGCACCACAGCACAGCACACGACAGACAAAGTGAGTGACACACGGTCTGTCTGCAGTGCATGTGACGTGACATGACATGAGATATATACCTCGTTGCCAATGATTTGAGCGAAGACGAGGCCAACGTCGTCAGCGTTGACGATCTCCGTAAGCCTGTACGACAGGTCGACCAGGGCCTGCATGCAACACACAGAAATACACATGACGGACGGCGTATGACGGACACGCACGGTGTGTTGTGGTGTGGTGCGGTGTGGTGTGTTGCGGTTACGTTGACGAGCTGATCGAACGGCAGGTGGTCGAGAATGGGCCTGAGAATCGCCAGGATGTCCTCCGGGTGCTCGAACATGCGGAACAGCTTCACGCACACAGAGTAGAAGTAGTCCAGGTCAACCGCGTCACCGAGCACCTTAGCTGAAGAAACACACACACACACACACACACACATATGCACACGGCGGTTTCTCACCCTCTCCAGGTGTCTGTTGGCATCCCAATGCTCACCGATTCTCACAGCGGCATCGACGAAGATGTCCTTGATGTTGTTGAGGTCCATGTCCAGGTGCGCGGCGAAGTCGAGCATGAAGTCCAAGAGCTTCAGCGGGTCCAGGGTCTCAGGCAGCTTCAGCAAGTCATCGGGCAGAATGTGCGCAAAGATCTGTGAGTGCAGCGCAGCAGGGGTGGGCAAGACATACACGGATACATACACCAATCTGTCCCTCTGTCTGTGTGTGGGTGGTGTGGTGTGGTGTGCATAGCGTGGGGGGTGAGGGGAGTGGGATGGGTGGGCACCTACCTTCTCGAGGTCGGCAGGGTCGAGCAGCTTGAGGTAGGGGTCCAGCAGGTGGAGCACCTCCTTGCCGGGCAGGTGGTCCACCAGCTTGGCGATCAGGTCGTGGATCAGCGACGGATCACCCAACTTCAACAGACCACCTGCACACACACAAGACACCACATCACGACACACATCCACTGCGGAATGCACAGCTGTCCCGTGCGCGGCACTCACCGAGGATGTCGTTGATATAGTCACGAGCCTCGTCCTCCGACTTGGGCCACTGGAGCGCTCCGACAACGCTCTCAACCACCGCCTCAGCACCCAGCTTCTCGCTCATCTCGCCGAGCACCTCCTTGATGTCGTCCGCAGCGACAGGTGAGGCCGCCAGTACGTGGCTGGTGACCTTCTGGATGGGCTCCGTGGCGTTGCCGATAGCCGCGGGCAGGTCGCGGGCGATGAGCTTGAGGCTCCTGGAGAGATTGGTGGGGTCGGTGTTCCACACGATCTGGTTGACCAGCTGCGTGGGGTACACCTCCACGATCGACGGCTTGGCGAGCAGGCCGCCCAGCAGGTTAGCCACCTCCTGCGGGATGCTGGTGTCGCTGTCGTTGAAACCAGCCACAACCTCCTCTGTCAGGGTGGTGGGGTGGGGTGGGGGGGAGAGACACACGAGGGAGGCGAGATGTGTGCATGTGGCGCCAGTGCTGTGGAGGGAGTGAGTGGAGGCCTTCCTTACTGATGAATGACTGCTCGTCGGGGACGGCTTCGAGCGTGCTCTTCATGATGTTGACCCTTGACGGGAAGTCCAGGAGGCTGGTGATGTCGCTCTCGGTCAAGATGCCCTTCATCAGCGACACCAGGGCAGGACGGCCGCCCTCCTCAGCCTCCTTTGCCGACGTCATCTCGCCGGTGAGCGTCTCGAGCACCTGAGACACGGCCTGAGGTGGAGCAGTGGAGTCGATGGTGATGGGTGCACTTACTGGTTGGATGAGCTCCTTCTCGGCGAGCGACGGCACAGTGAGGATCGCCTTCACGACCTCGGTGAGCTCGTTGGGGGCCAGGATGCTCTCGAGCGAAGCCACCAGCGAGTTGACAAACTTGGCTGGCGACTCGGCCTCCTTCACGACCGGCGCTGGACGGACAAGGGAGAGAAACGCATGTGCAGTGTGTGTTTGTGTGTGTGTGTGTGCCTCTGACTGACCCATGACTTGTGCGAACGCGGGAATCTCGAAGAGCATGAGGAGCTGCGCTGCGGTGGCGGTGAGAGTGTCAGGCTTGACGGCGGGGAGCATCTCGCCCAGGAGAGAGGGCAGGGTGATGATGTCGCCCTCGTCCTCACTTGTGCTATTCTTGTCGGCCGTGAAGGGCAGCGCCGCCACAAGGGCGGTCACGGCCGCCGCGACCCCGCTGCTGTCCTTCTCAGACACCTAATGGATGGACACACGCAGCACAGACACGTTTGGTGGGTGCTGGTGGGATGGGGGACTTGGCTGGTTCGTGTGCGTGTGTGTCATGCTTACGAGTCCGTCGAGGACGTCGGTGAAGACCTTGGAAGCTTCCTTGACGGGCATGGCCTGTGTGACGGATTGGGTGAAGGCGAGCATGTCGGGGGGCGACAGCTTGGGCATGATGCTCGTCAGCATCTCAGGAACCACGTCGCCGAAACCCAGAGGCTTCATCAGATCCAGCGCCTGCACCACACACATTAGACGACACGCCCACACACGAAGCCATCCATGGTGATGGCCGGGGACGTGTGCGCGTGCGTGCCGTGCAGTGACTGACCGTGTCGAATGCCTCAGTGCCGGCGACGTTCTCGACGATCTGCTTGGCCATGCTGGTGGCGTTGTCAGCGGTGAGGGAGTTCATGAAGGGCTCCATGAACTCTGCCAACACGGCGCTCTCGGGCAGCTTGGGAGACTGCAAATACGCGCCGATGGCGGCAGCTGCAGCCTGCGTGTCCACGGGGGACTCCTGCAGGAGCTCAGTCAGCAGCTGATCGACGGATGGATGGATCGACACACATACACAACACAGACACACAATGGACATGCAGATGGACAAGGAGTCCTTAAAAGTATGTGTGTGAGGTTGCTTACATCTCCGAGGATGTCGAGAGAGGATCTCTCGGGGCTCTTCTCGTCCTCCTTGCCGACCAGGTCCTCCACCACCCCCGCCAGCACGGCAGGCGAGCGAAGAGGCCCGATGCTTCTGATGATCCCCATGGCCGACTCGCGCTCGCCGCCAGCCAGACGGGACACCACGCTGTCCCTGACCTTCATCTCGGCCTCGCTCAGCTTCTTGCGCATGCCGCGGGCCTCCTGGCGGATGTCACTGATGGTTGGCGGATCCCTGACGAACTCGTTGAGCTGGACAGCGGCCATCTGTGCCACGCCCTCGGCAGCCTGGAGGCCCTGGTAGGCGCCGTAGGCGATCTGGTTGCCGGCCTCTGAGGCCATCTTGCCCGCAGTGGTGGCGGCATCTGTAGCAGTCCGGGCGGCAGTGGTAGCGGCATCTGTGGCCATCTTGCCCGCAGTGGTGGCGGCATCTGTGGCTGTCTGGGCGGCAAAGGTGGCGGCACCTGTGGCTGTCTGGGCGGCAGCATTGATGCCTGCACCGATGTAGGCGGGGTCGAGGATGCTACCTGCAGTCACGAGACACACACAAAGGTCCCCCGTACAATGCATGAGGCACCAACGGCTGCAGCAGCTTCACCCCCGTGATCTCACCTTCGAGGATGTTCTGGATGCCCGCAGCGGAGCGCCCCAGGAAGTTGCCCACGCGTCCGCCGACACCCTGCTGCTGCTGCTGCGCGTTGACGGCGGCAACGGCCACCAGGCCGCATAGGAGGATGGCTGACCAGCACCGACGCGGAGGTGGCCGCGTCATGGAGAGAGTGGGGTCACTTCACAGCTGATCTATGCTGGCTGCGGTTGGCTGGGTGTTGCTGTATCGCTTGCCGGACAGTCTGGAGTGCGTAGACGGAAGTGGCGTGCTGTGCTGATGTCGAGTGAGAGTGGAGGGGGCGTCGACCGATGGGTGTGTCGACGCAGACAGCCTCCTCTCTCCTCACTAATTAGTGCGGCAGTGCTTGCCTCCTCGCTCGTGCGGTCTTTGACTGCCGAAATCACGAATCTCCCGCCGCTAACGGCAGGTCGTGCGTACACTGTAAACAATCACTGCGAGCTAAGCTCGCCAAACGATTTTGGGCGTGAAGACGATGGCTTGAGGGTACGTGGAGCCTTGCGCGGCTCCATCGCGGCCAGCGGACATGTCCCCCCAGCATAGTACCGTTTTTCGGCCGTTTGTCTGGTCAGCACTCGTGTGGCTTCTCGCAGCCCTCTCAGGCCATGGGGCACCCAAGACGCGGCCGGTGTCGGAGAAACCCTTCACAGCGGCGGAGATCCAGTCGCAGGATGCCTTCAGGTACGGGCGGTTTGAGTGCCAGCTGAAGCCGTCTGACTCTCCCGGAGTCATCACGGCCGTCTACCTCGCCGACCCATCCAACGGGCGGGACGGCCGCGACGAATGGCGGGAGATCAGCATGGAGGTCATGAACAGGGACACCAACCGGCCGTTCATCCAGACCAATGTCATCTACGGCTCCAAAAGGAAGGATGCCATCTACCCGCTGCCGCTCCCGACACCGCCACCTCCGCCATCCCTCGAGGACAGCTCGCGGCCGACAGTGCTGGCCGGCAGGCGCGACAAGTCGGGCGCCAAGGCTCTTGGGGCGCGGGAGGAGAGTTACTACAGCGAGTATTACAATGGGATGGTCACTGAGAGCTCCGACGGCTCCGGTGAGTTCTTCCTGTCGCCGTTCCACTGGTTCGCCATCGAGTGGATGAACGACGCCATTGAGTTCTACGTCGACGGGCAGCTCATTCGCCGGGAGGGCATGAGCGTGGCCAAGCACTTCGACACACCCATGCACCTGCGCATCGCCACCTGGCCCGTCTCGCCCTCCCTCGCCACATACGCCGGCACATTCACACCCCCATCATCTCATGCCTCCCTCGCTGCCGCGTCGGTCATCAACTACGCCCGCGTGTGGAAGTTCCTGCCGCTGCGCTTCGCGTACGAGTCGCTGTACGAGGACACTTTCAGCAAGAAGAAGCTCAACGCCAAGAGGTGGCATGCCAACGCGGGGACGTTCGACGGCAACCATGCTGTGTTTCGGGCGGAGAATGTGGTGGTCGAGGGCGGGCAGGCGGGGCTCTTCATCTGGGGCAGTGGGGAGGACATGGTCGACGAGAGGAGGAAGGAAGCTGTGGCACTGCTGCCTCTCACGACGGGTGACCACACACACACACACACATCCACAACGCATGAACACTCCCGCCCCGCCCCGCCACGTACAGTACACGCACGCTCCGCTCCACGTGTGTGTGTGTGTGTGTATGTGTCCGTCCATCCATCAGACCCCGCCCCTCGGACGCAGGAGTCGTCCGTGCAGGTGATTCCGCCCACCCCCACCACGGCCCCCCGCAACACCACCCAGCCATCGATGCCCGTTCCCCACACCGAGGGCAGCTACGCCGCCAAGAAAAAGGAAAAAAGAGAGAAGAAAAAGGAGGAGCAGGAAGAGCGACAAGAGGAGGCGGCCAGGCTGGCAGAAGAGGCGGAACGAGCGCAGAACAAAGACGACAAGGACAGCAAGGCCGACAAGACGTCAGCCAATAGGCCTGCAGCAGCAGCGACCACTCCGCAGCCTGCTGCTGCTGAGGAGGAGGAGGACGCCATCTTGCAGATCCAGGCGGCACGTGGCGACGGCTCCGACACCTCCACCTTTCCCTCCATCCAGGCAGAGGCAAGGGCCAGCCGCCGCTCGCGGAGAGAGAAAGAGAGAGAAGAACGGCTCGCCGAGAAGACGAAGGAGGGCACAGAGGCGGCTGCGGCTGAGAAGACAGAGATGCGTCCAAAAGAAGATGATGACGGCAGAGGAGACCTCCCCCACCACGACGGCCAGCAGCAGGAGGAGCCCACCGCATCGACGAAAGAGCAGAAGCCAAAGCGAGAAGACCGAGAGCAAGATGAACATGAGGCGGCGACGCAGGCAGAGATCCCGACGACCCCTCCCCCTGCTGTGAGTGAAGGCGAGGAGACCAACGCACAGGAGGCCGAGAGCACAGGGGTCGTCATTGCTTCTGCGAAAGACCTGCTGCCGCCCCCAGAGCCGCGGGACACACCTCCTCCTTCTCCACCACCCAAAGCCACCAGCCCAGTCCCCCTCACCCTGGCGCCCACCACTCCTGTCCCTGCTGAGGCAAGCGGCAACGACACACAAGAGGGGAGGGACTTCCTCTCGCCATCCCCGGCACTCACCCCTGGCGACGACGCAGAGGGCAGCGCGTCTGCAGAGAGACCTTTCATCCTGTCTGTGGACCAGCAGCAGCAGCAGCAGCAGGGCTCACAGGACGACAGCAACAAAACGGAGGAAGCCAAGACAGAGAACACTAGTGCGAGGAACCGGTCAGAGGAGGACCAGCATGACCATCCCCACAACAACGCACCATCTCGTGCGCCCGACGGTCGGTGGAGCAAGCCGACGGCAACGCCCGTGACGTCACTGCCGAAGGAGATCATCATTGCCGGTGGGTCGGCCGCCTTGGCCAGGGAGGACCCCCATGTCTTCACTGGGGAGGTGGGTGGAAGTGCAGGGGAGATGGTGGGCGAGACACACCTGCTCAGCCTCAGGCTGACCAACTACGAGTACAGCAAAGTCATCAAGGTTAGAAGGAGGGGAAGATGGCCTCATAAACACATGTGCACTCATGAATCACCCTGTGTGGGATTTGTCTGCAGAGTGATTCGTTGCGCGAGAGCATCAGTCGTCAGCTGGTGGGTCTTGTGGCTCGCACCCTGGACGTCTCGCCGCGGGCGGTGACCGTCGAAGCCTTCAGACAAGGATCTGTCATCGTTGTTATACGGTATGGATGGATGGAAGCCCCACAACATGCCATCCATCCTCACAACGCTTGTTTTGCCTCCCTCTTTTTTCGTGTCAGTGTGGTACTGGACCGCATCGAGGCCATCCGGCTTCCCTCGATCACGCAGCAATGGAGGTCGGCAGTCCAGTCGCCTCTCTCAGCACTGCACCAGCAGTCGCTCTTCGAAATCGACTCCGCCCACCCGCCTTTCGCGTCAGCGGACATGCTCACCGACCACCATGACGCCGACAAGAGCGGCAAAACAGGAGACGATACCCACGCCCAGCACGAGTCCTCGTCCATCCCAGCATGGGTGTGGGTGCTGCTGAGCGGCGAGGGCCTCCTCGCCGTCATGATCATCGCTATCGTCGTGATCATCCGCCGCTGCAGGGCCAAGAAGGCCGCTGCCACAGCGGCAGACGACGCGCAGAGGACCCTGCTCTCCGCCTCTGCGTCGTCCAAGAGCATCAGGGAGGGCGACGGCATCACGACCGAGCTGGGCAGATATGCCCGCCACTGTGGGGCGTACTACTACACCAACGGGGGCGCGTCCTCCCCCCACACGCCGAGTGAGATGCCCACCCCCACTTTTGGCACCGAGGGAGAGGGGGCCATGGGCATGATGCTGGCCGCGAATGAGCAACACACGGAGGGACCGGCAAAGGAAGAAAACGGCAATGGCAGTGGCAATGCTGGAGGGTCAGGGGGGGGCGAGGACTCTCACTCCAACACGACGGCGTGTGACGACATGGTGTCCCCCGCCAGCACGACATCAGTGGCCACTCTCGCGGAGCCATCCCAATTTGTCACCGAAGACCCTGACGACCCGCCAACCCCCCCATCCACCCCCACACCTCCCTCGCCCGCGCTACACCCCCGCACTGCATCGCGCAAGGTCGTCCTGTGCCTCGAAGAGATGATCCCTGTCAATGACAAGGGCGACGCCATGACCACCCGGTCGTCGCCCTCTCCCTCGTCGCGGATGATGCCACCCACTGTCATGTGTGACGGAGATGTCTCGGCCCCTCCGCTGGCTGACGACTGCATGAGCAACACTACGGGCGGCAGCGGCACCAGGGACCAGCTGAGGCAGAGAGGCCAGCAGGAATCGGCCACAGCGGCAGCAGCAGTGAAACCGCCTAGGGCCCCCTCGAGCAGCCCTCGGTCGCTCTCTCCAGGGCTCATCCCGCCCATGCGGCCACATCACGCGCGCGTTAAGAGCAGCAGCCGAGGGAGTGGCGTGGAGAGTGGGGGCGAGTCCATGACCCCCACACAGAGACGAGTGGACAGGGAGCAGCGCCGTCGGTCCAGAGCCCTCAGTTCCCCTCCCCTGTCTCTCACGGCATCGTCTGTCAGCGGCCCCACGATCATCAACCCCAACTTACCGCTGCCCACGGCTCCCTCGGCTGACGGGGGAGAGGCCCCATCGTCGACAACGGATGCGGCAGGGAGGAGCGTGAATGCCTTGGTGAGGCTGAAACCCCACAGCCACCGGCGGTCGAAGCGCAGCGGCAGCGGTGGCGGTCTAGCTCCCGCCAAGGCCGCCATGGGCAGCAGTAGCGTGACTGCCGTCAGTGAGCTCAAGCAGCCGACGTAGTAGGTAGATTCCTGTGTGTAGGCACGTCATGTCGTCCGTCTCTGTGGGCGTGGCTGGGGGTGGACAGTAGTCTAGACGAGACACCAGGCAGGCAGGATGCGATCGATGCTGCTGGTTTTTCCCATAGGTTAGCTGGGCGTGTGTTGGTTGGTTGGTTGGTTGGTTGTGTCAGTTTATCTATCTGGGGCATGTAAGTAAGAAGAAGGGACACGAAGTAGAGTGACCGGGGTGGGCTGGTCTGGTCTGGGCCGCGGTGTCACTGTGATCGGAGGCATGCGATGGATGGGTGTAGGTGCAGATCAGATAGATGTGCTGCTGGTTGGTGTGTTGTGTTGTGTTGGCTCGCGAAATCAATAATAATTCCCTATTGCCTCCCCAAAGCGGGAGGTGGGTGGGCGGATGGAGTGTGTTGTGCTGCAGTCAGTCGATGGATGGATGGATGGATGGACAACCGGCTAGTGGGTTGGTGGATGGTAGATTTGGTGAGTGATGACCCCATCGATAGGTGTGCGCCACTGATGTCAGTGTATGTACATGTCTGCATGAATTTGACCTGTGATCGAGCAATATCCCCATGAACGCGCTGCCGTTTTGTAGCACAAACACTCACACTCGTACCGCCCATGAGTGCAACCCATCGAGAGTTGAGCTGGTGTCTACTTCATGCCCTCTCCACCATCCCACAGCCAGCACGCAATACCCCCCTCCTCCCCTCCCCAATAATGACACCCCCCACCGCCGTCGCCATTGGCATCGATATCGCAATCGTCACTGCCACTACTGCCTCCCTTTGGCTGCATCTTGCTCACCTTCTTGTTCGTGTCGCTGCTGCTGCCGCTGCTGCTCTTGTCGGGGGCCGGCACAGAGACAGGCAACGCACCACGGGACGACAAGACGTAATCGCTGCGGACCGTCCTGAAGAAGGCACGCAGCACGTGGTGCGGGAGGCGTCCATAGTGTCTCGCGTATGTACCCGATTCGTGGGTAGAACTTGGTGATAAGTTGAAAGCGTGTGGGTCTCCTCTCCTGACCAAACACCTTGCTGCACCACACCACGGGACAAAGACGGAGACACACCCACACCCATGCAATGACCTATACTAGCCTATGCGCGTGTCCATCCATTCAGTCATGGTTTCCACACCTGTCATGAGACTCCTCTTCTGCTGAGTCGCTATCCCCCTCCCCCTCCTGCTCGCCTCGTGTCTCCCTGTCCATCAGGGCCTCCTGCCTCCTCTGTGCGCGGAAAGCCTCCCACCTCTCATCGATGAGTGCCTCGGTCGCCGCATCGTCGAGGTGGAACTCCTGCCACCAGGCGCTGTCCGTCGCGTAGCGATCGCTGAAAGACGACACCTGACACACAGGACACACACGTCAAAGAGGCATTTCCGTCGACATGTTTGAAGAGCAATCGTACCGACCTCCTGTTGTCTGTCGACAGGCACGAGCTGCTGTCCCGTCTTGCCATCGATGACCCCCAGCACGCTGATGGTGGCGTCCTTGGGCTGCCCGTGTCTGGTGAAGTCCTCAAATTCATCGTCGTAGAAGTCGTCCGTCACGAATTCGCCTTTGCGGTACTTGGGTCTGTAGTGTGGAAACTTGTACTTGTAGCCGAAGCCGTCCGACAAGGACGACTCCGTCTCGCTCTCGTCGTCACTGCAGCTGGACTCGGATGGGCAGCACGAATCCGGCGGGTGGTAGTGGAAGTCGTACATGGGGTGCAGCATGGTTGCCCCGCCGTACACTATCACCTCACTCCCCGTCCACACGGCGGCCGCGGCGTTGGTGGCGGGGCCCTGGTAGGGGAGGGTGTGTGGTGTGGGTGGGGGGGCGAAGGACGGGGTGGTGAACCGGCCCGTGACCGTGTCGAAGATCACCGTCCTGGTGCCGCCGCGGCGCTCGCCCGACGACGTGCGCTCACAGTAGCCGGTCATGAGCACTATCTTGTCACCTAAGAGGGAGGGAGAGAAAGAGACAGCCGGAAGTGATTGATGGATAAGCCTTCGGTTGTTGTCTGCATCTCTACGCACCTGCGAGTACGGCGGTGTGTCGCTCGAAGGCCAGGTCGGAGCCGACGCGAGCAAGGGGATGCCCTTTGTCGTCCCACTCCTCGTGAAAACCACCAAACACGTCATCTGATAGAGGCAGGGCGGCAACCGAGTGATATTATATCTTTGTCCGTGACAGCTCCATGCATACTGAAGTGACCGTCTACAGCGGGCACGATGGCGTCCTTGTTGCGCAGTGTGGTCACAGACGGTGCTGTCCTCATGCGTATCTTGAATCCTCCCCCCTTGTGCGCCTTGAGCTTCGCTCTGCCCCTGTGCGATATGCTGAACTTGGCCATCGGCTTGCACACCCACGGCAGGTCCTCGAAGGCCACCCAGCTGCATCCATGCCCGAGAGAGACACATACGTCCATAGGTCCATGAAGTCCCGTGCTTATGTGTGGTTCGCTCCTTGACCTCTTGCTGAGTCCGTCGAAGATGACCACGTTTTTGAGCCAGCCACTCTGGTTGTCGAACCAGGCTATGTTGTCGCCACCCGCGGACTCATACTCCCGCTCTGCACACACACACACACACACACACAGAGAGAGAGAGAGAGAGATCGGCTGACTGCAAATCACTCACTCGATCTCCCAGTCACTCTCTCACTTGAATGCGTACCCTCTCCGCCGATTATGAATACGAATCGGTCTCTGACGAGTGTGGCGGTGTGGTTGAGGCGGGGGAGGGGACCGGGGTTGGGGAACGACCTACGGTGGAAGGTAAGAACCCTGCAAGTCAAGAACCAGTTCCCTGCAAGTCAAGAACCAGTTCCCTTTACTCATCGAAGATCCATTTCGCCACGTCTACGATCGTGTGCACGTTCGACGTCTCCCTGATACGCACACACACACACATGGACGCTCAAGCCGCCCATCGGTCTGTACCACCGCTTCCCCAATGCTTACCTGTACGACAAGTCGCGCCCTCCGAAGAGGAGAACGAACCCATGGGGGTGCTCAGGCGACCGAATGGGCACAAACGTGGAGGAAGAATACATCCTGACACAGTGGTTGTACGTTCAAGACCAAGAAGAAGTACAAGTGGAGGAAAAGAGGAAAGCACTGCCTCCAATCCGCCCCGGTTCGTAGGGGCATTCTCTCACCGCCAGATTGCGTACCTGTCTAAAGGCCAGGGATCGATATACATATTGACCCGCGACCGGCTCCTCCTCTGCATCTTCCACTCCACCTGCTGGCAGTTGAGCCGCTCCCTTGTCACCCACTCGTACCGATGCTCACTCCCCTCCCCGCCCTCGCCCTCTCCCCTCACCACACCCTCCGCTGCCTCCTTTGCCTCCTTTCTGATCTCCAGGACGCCCCAGAACGTCTCCTTGGGCCTGGTGTCATTCGGAGAGGCCGGCCCGCCACATGCGAAGTATCTCTGCGGCAGCTCTGGTTCTGAGAGGGACGTGGGCGTGGCAGGGGAGGGGATGTGGATGCAGGTGAGGGTCATGGAGTCGGATGCGGCTGGAGGCGTCCCGTCGACCGCGCACTCCTGCCAGTCGTACTTGCCCTTCGACAACAGCGACTTGATGGACAGCCGCCACAGATCGGTCTTGTAGTTGGCGTCAGCAATCACGCCACCTGACGGACACACGCCACCTTCGATGCCCTCCCTCCGTACATGGATGCGACGCTGCCTGGCAGTGCTTCTTTTTCTCACCAAACACATAGAGGTAATCCCCCATCATGAAGAGGCATGGTCTGCTGCGCGCCATCTCCGGCCGCCACTGGCATGTGGCCCTTCCCCACTGCAGGGCGCTTACCCCACAGCCCCTAGAGCCCATCGTAGCCACCTTATTTGCCCGCTCGTAGGCTGTGCGGTAGTCGTTGTCGGGCAGCGGCGTGTATCTCCTTGAGTGCGCGGACTGGCCGGTGGGTGCAGGTGAGGACCGTGAGGTGTGGGTGGCGGGAGGGGGAAAGTGGGAGGCGCCTTGAACCATGCGGATCGTGCTGGAGCGGAACGAACGGTGGTACTGCATACACCAAACCACGTCAGGATGAACAAAAACGAAGAACGTGTGGCAGAGATCCCTCTGTCCAGGCGCACCTGTGTCTGCCATAGCCCATCTCCAGCGTTCACAGTGTCGCGCAGAGCCTTGCTCACTGAGGAAGCAGGCGCACACCATTCGTGAGTGCTGATCCAGCCAGAGACCTGCCCCGTACCTTTGTCAGGTCCCTTGAGCAGCTCGATACCATCCAGATACGGATGGACTTGTGCAGCCGCATCCTCAAGGGCAGCCATCCTCTCTACCACTCGGCCAATTGCACTCGGCAGCCGTGCAAAAAATTGGGGCCGGCCCCCGCGACTCCCGAGCGCCCTTCCCTCCCAAGAAAATGATGTCACCATTCCCTCTCTTGCTGCTTTTGTGGGCCCTATTGTTGGCCGCCTACCACAACAGACTCGCAGGTCAGCTTTCATCACGGCCCAATGAGCTGCTCTGCCGCAAGCAATATCCGTGGCATTCAGATATGATATGTTCTGCTCGTCAGGAGCTCAGCCTTCTTTCGATCCTTTCGAGGCTCTGACGTGCTGGGCAGGGAAGCCTTGCTCGTATGCGTTAACGGCAATGAACGTGGGCTCGCTGGAAGACGGGGATATCATCATTGCTGTTGAGGGGAAGGAATGGTCAGCAAGGAGCCCGGGGAGGCACGGGGTCATCTGATCAATGTGCATATGCAGTTCTGACCTGACAAGCAACGATTTCCGAGCGACATATGCAAAGGGGACACGCACATCTAGTTCCGCACTGAGAACCACATCAGTGTACACCTTCAAGCAGCCCATACCGGCAGGAAGATACAACCTCTGTTGGTATGCGTTCTACAGGCCGATTGTCATCAAGCCATTTCATTTGTACATGTGTCGGTTCATGGTTAGGTGTTCTGCGTCCTCCTGCACAGAGGAGACTGTCACCAAGTCGCCCCAGAGCTTCGAGACGCCAGCCGGGACGCTCGAAAACTATGGTCAGGATGCAGCCAGCGCCGCGAGCACCTGTTTGTCCCTTGTGTGTGATTGTGGATACACTCAATGCATGCAGGGCCGCTTACGACTGACCTGGCCATCGAGTGTGTCGCTGGTGAGCCATGTCCGAAATTCTCTTTGGAGATGTATGGCGACTCAGACGACTACTACGTCGCCCTTGTGGACGCCCCATGCTCCCCATCCAACGACGGAAACATCGCCAGCGGATCGGCCCCTGCCAAAGGGACAAAGGAGAGAGACTTGGCAGTGGGAAACAAGCTCTACACTTTCACACTACTGCCGGCGACAGATGCGGGAGATTACTCGCTGTGCTTCTGCAAAGAGGCGGCATGTGCGAGCGGCGCACCGGGGGACTTCTCCGTCAGCGTGGGATCGGTCATCATCAAACGTGAGCTGGCACGAATGAAGGGGTGCAAGGCGATGGACTGGCGGCCTTGTCTCGTGCTGTGTAATGCTGCAGAGCGTACGACGACCACAGAAGAGCCTACCAGCACCACCACAAGCACACCGTAAGCCAGACATGCGCAGAAAGAGCGTCTACAGATCTTCGTTGATCGATTCTCCCGACCCTCTGGTGTGTCGACGTGTATGCAGCTTGCCTCCATCACAAACTGATGCTCCATCAGGTGTCACATCGGCACCAAGTGCACCTGGCACCGGAGGTATCACCCCGGCTCCAAGTGTACTAGGCACCGGCGCAGGCGGCACGGAGGGAACGGAGGGACAAGGGTCAGCGAGAGACACGCACAAACACCTTCTGTGTGGGAGGAGAAGATCAGGAGCAACATGTGTGATCGATGTGTGTGGCAGGTGCGACCGCCCCGAGGGTTGCGACATCGGACTTCAACCAGGGGGCCCCGAAGGCGGGCTGTTGGAGTGAGTGAGACACACACCCATACACACATACACACATACATACATACATCATGAACGCAACGTCTGTCTCGTGGCCTGCCGTGCAGGCCATCGACCAGGCCATCGACATCCCCATCGACATCCGCCCCTCCTGGTGGTACTACCGAAGGGCTCGGCCCGTAAGCTGTATATGGTCGATATGTATGCAAACCATCTTCCCTCACATCGTATACATGTGGTCATCGGTGGTTGGTAATTCATGACACACAGGACCGTCGCCCCCCGGGACCAGAACCAGAGGGGCGCTAGGGGCGCTGCGGGGAGGTAAGCAAGAAAGATCCAAACGAAGAGAGGAAGAAGATCTTGCGCTGACCCAGCTTGTGTTGGTGTGTGCAGGTGTCTCCCTGCTGTCAGTGTGGCGCTTTTGGCCTCCCTCGTGTCGGCTCTCATCCACCTGAACAGCTAGCTGATCCTTCCTTAACCACCTTCGCACGTTCTTGGGTTCGTGAGTCCCGTCTTCATTGTCATTTGCTCTCTAGCTAGGCCCTTGTTCTCCGTCCGTCAATCAGTCAGTGTGCCATTTTGTTCTTGGAATGTAAGAAATAGAGATTCTTGGCTTCCGTCCTTGAAAAGTGTTGGATTGTTGCTCATTGCATGCGCAATCAGTCATTAATTGAAGCTGTTCACCAAGAGACGCGCTACTGCATGCCTCTCCTTTTCATCTTAAAAGCACCCAGTCATCCAATGCGCCCACGTGTGGGGATCTCATCGCTCATTCCATGTCTCAGCATGTGGCCGGCCCCCACTCAAATCAACACGTATACGAGTGCATCCATTACCTAACCTAACGAACCTCATGAGTTCGCTGGTCGCTCGCTCTCTTTATCGCTCGCTCCGCATTCCTCCGCTTCTTCCGCCACCTGCAGATCTGCGTCAATATTCTCGTGTGTGCAGATCGTTGATCAGCAGCTTGGCCTCCAAAGCACACCTGCACGCACACAACACAACAAGCGTGACTGAGTCGGGATCTTGCTCCCACCCCATCCCTCTCTCTCCCCGGCGCCTGTCTCTCCTCTTCCAACCGAGCTCGCAGTATTGTTTGAGCTCGCACGAAACGGAGAGGAAAAAACAGGACTGGCGAGGTGATATGGATGGCAATATGGTGAGCCCATCGAGCTGATGAATCGCCTGAAGCGGCGACGAGTTGTTTTCTCCCGAAAGACTTGAGCTGAGAACGGGCGTATCGGAACAACGATTCCCCTCTGAGGACCGCTGAAGCGTCGATAGTGTGCCCCCCTCGTCGAGAATGGGCATGTGGTGGCTGGGTGTGGCGTTGGCCGCCGTCAACTCGTGCCAGGGGGCGATAGCGGACAATCTGGTCCGACTGAGCTTTGTCAAGGAGCGACAGAAGGCCGCTTCGGAGCAACGTCCTCTTATCAAGAGGCCGCTGTGGCTCATTGGCATCGTCATGATTGCTGTGGTGGACCCTCTACTCACTCTCGGAGGCCTGACCTTCGCTGCAGCGGTGAGAGGCATGGGAGGGGGCCTGGTCTGTCTGTTGATGGATGGGTTTATGACATCTCTGTCTGTTTTGTTCGCTCCTTCTGTTCTGCTCAGTCGATGCTCTCGCCCTTTGCGGTAGATGAGATGCCTCCCACACACACAAGGAAGCTTCATGCAAGCAGACATGCAACGTGCATGCGTGTGTGTCCGTCCTCTCTGCCCTCTGCTTGGTGTCCATCCATCCATTGATCTGTCTGTCAGGGTCTGCATATCTTCTGGAATGTCTTGGCGGCTTATTTCCTGACGGGTGAGTCCATCGGTCGGGCCGACGTCATCGGGTCGCTGGTCATCATCGGCGGCATCCTCTTGGTCGTCCTATACGGCCCACACGGCAGCGGCGGATTCAGCCGCACCGATGTCGTCTACCTCTATACGAGACCCACCTTCATTATCTATGCCATCGTCTGGGGGGCTCTAGTCGTGGTGGCCGTGCTCGGGTCTCAAAAGATAGTCGAGAAGTGGCCCAGGCTCAAGCAGTTCTGTGTTGCCGGTGAGACGCTGAGCAGCCACACAGAGGCAATGTGTCTGTCACATGCATTAGGCATGCATCGCATCCACGTCCGCCTGCCTCTTTGTTTGTCTCTCCATCCATTCGCAGCATCAGCGGCGCTTTGGGGTGCGAATGTGACGATAGCAGCCAAGACGGCCATCGAGCTGGTTAATGCCAAGGAGGTGGCGGCGTCTGCGGAGCGGGGCGTGGAGGCCACCAACGGGGCCACCGGCAACGCCGCGGGCTTCACGGCTGGGATGTTCCTGGGGCTCCCGGGAGAGTTCTATATCTTTGTCATCGCTGCGGTGGGGTCGGCTCTCGGCCAACTATACTTCTTCAACAAGGGACTCTCACAGGTACGGTAGGCACAGCACATCCAGCTCACCAAAACACCCGACACAAGCCATGCCATCCACACCACACCACACCTGATTGTGTGTCGTTTCTTTTCGTCCATCATCCATCCATCAGTTCCAGGCGGTGTTCATCGTGCCCACCACGATGGCCTTCCTGATCGCCTGCCGCAGCGTGGCGGGCATGGTGGTGCTGGGGGAGCGGCCCATGCTGCCATCGCTATACGGCGTGGGGATATCCCTCGTCCTGGCGGGAGTCGTCACTCTCGCGAGGAGCCACGCCAGGACCGCACACGGCGACGACCATGCTGGCGAGCAGGTAATGATGATGGACACACTCAGTGGCGAAAGGGACCAGGGGAGCGCTGCGGCCAGTAGATCTGCAGCAGGGGGCAGCAAGAAGCGAGATTGATTAGCCAGAGAGCGGGGCGGGGGTAGCGGAGCGGGAGGGACGTGTAGCGCGAGAGAGACTTTCACGTGACTGATTGAATGAATGGCATGATTTGATATGAATGAATGATCCCGTTTGTGTGTGTGTTGGTGCAGCGTCGCGTGCGCATGAGCACCACTGCCAGTCTTTCGGAGCTGGCCAACCTCACCCGCACCGACAGCCACGACTGCACCAAGCGCAAGGGCCTGGCGGAGGAGGACGGCCTCTACGACGAGGAGGAGCTCTCCACCAGCCAGCAGACCAACGGACACGGCGGCATGACGCCCGCCAAGGTTCTGTCCATGACCAGCATCGACATCGACGACCCATGCCCATCAGACAACGACATCCACACCGGTGGTGCAGTCGCAGCGCACGCCCTCACCCAACACGACACACACAGTCGGAGCAACCGCAGGGACGTCGCGAGCCACTCGCCCATGGCCGGCAGGGAGACCCGCCACCACACCCACCACCATCGGGTTCTCAGCATTGACATAAGGAGGAACCATGCGGATGGTTCATGCAGCGACTGGGAGGGCGGGTGGCCGAGGCCGCGGCTGCACGACTATGGCGGCATTTGTGGCCCGTCCTCGTCTCTGCCAAACAGCCCGACCATGCTGGGAGGCGAGAGGGACTGCAGCCCACAAAGCGAAGGCGTCCGGGCCAAGGAAGAGGTGTGACCTGCCTCGTGTGGGCGTCGTCTGCCTGGGTGCGGGTGTGTGTGACTTTGGCCGGCGCTCTCGCGTATCGATATAAACGCGGCGAGAGCTGCTGGACAGGACAGACAGTCTGGGACCATGGTGTGATGCAGCGCATGGATGGTTGATGCAGGCAGGCAGGCATGATATGGCCGAGTGGATGGATGGATGGATGGTGTGGGGACGAGGGGGGCAGGCTTATTGGCCTGCTTCTTGTTCTCCCCCGATCGCATTTTTCTCTGTGCATACTGACTGACTACACGTACGGCTCTTTGTCGCTTTCTCTCTCTGGCTCCTTCTAGTCTCGGCTGATGGGGTGTACCATTGTTTTGTCGTGTGATGGAATGAGTGCACTCATGCACTGCATTGTACCATTGTTTGCCTCCTACCTTACTGACTGACTGCTATGAGCTGGCTGTTTGCTGTCTGTTTTGGTGGCCAAGATGACAAGAGAGAGAGAGAGAGAGAGAGGGAAAACTGATAAGTGGGATTGGTGACTTAGTTGGGTGCTGGGATGGCTGCTGATTGATGCTGGTGCTGGATTGGTGTGTTTGTCTGTCTGTCGCCTGTGAGTGAGTGGGTCTGGTGCGTGTGGTCGCGGCCTGCCTGCCTGCCTGCCTGGCTGCATTGGCCAATGTCGTATTTCTGGCTTAGGTCTGTCTGTCGATCTGGCTGTCTGGCTGGCTGTCTATACACATGCACACACACACACTCCCTCTCTGCCTCTCCGTGTCCCTCTTGTCTCTCTGCGGGCAGCACAGTTCTGCGCCTCTTTGTTTGCACCCCTTCTGTGTACAGTCACATCTGCTGACTGTGTTGCACAGCATCATCGACAGAGGGAGAGAGGGAGGGAAGGGGCGGCAGGGGGGAGGGGGATGCTTGGCCTGGCCCCTGGGGTGGTGTGGTGCGGGGCGGTGCGTCCATGCGCGCCCGCCCCCTCTCTTTGTAAACCATGGTTTCTTTGGAAGAGTTGGGAAGAGGCGTCGCCTCCATTGCTTTGATAGTTTTCCCGCATGGCATGCCGTAATGTATGTAATATGTGAGTACGTCACGTGTGTGGGTAGGCGTGGCGTGGCGTGGCGTGGTGTGTGTACGCGATGATGTTAGTATGTGTATGCGTCGCTGCCGGGACCAGCAGAGAGGTCTCGCTGTCTGTGGCGCTGATGGATGGATGGATGGACCAACACATATATCTATCGTGTCAATCAATGCATTCGTGTCGGTGGGGGTGGAGTGAGTCCCACGAACCATCTATTGTTTGTACAAAACGGTTCGTTCATTTGATTGACAAACCAACAGCCAGGAAGCAAACGAGTGTGTCTCACTCATTTCATTCAACTCGCCCATCTCACAGTACAGTCACCCCGCATACATGGCCGCCAAGACAGCAAGCACCCCCACCAACACAGCCCACCCACCGACGCCCCACCGCCCCACAGCTGCATTGTCAGGGTCGTCACCAACATCCCCACCAGAAGTGTCATCCCCCCCATCACCCCCTCCAGGCGCCCCGCCTGTCCCACCCGGTGCTTGCGTCACCGACCCGCCACCACCACTCGTGTTGCCTCCGCCACCATTGTTGCCCGGCGTCGTCGTCACCGATGGCTGTGGGTGTGATGTCGGGGCTGCATCGGCCGGTGCGGGTGTGGGTGCGGCGGTGCCCTGGGTGCCCTCACTCCACGCGGCACAGTCGCTCCACACGCTGGTCGGCTTGGCGGATGAATCGCTCACCACCGCTAGGAAGACGAGCGCCCGGGCCTCTTCGATGCCCTTTGCTGCTGACAGGGTGAAAGGGGTGCACGGCAGGGCAGACGACGGCACACCTGACCCAGGACAGAAAGAGAGAGAGACACGTGTGCAGGTATTGTATCAATGACACATGTCTCTCTTCCGTGTACCTACCTACCTTTGATGACGCCAGTGGCTGGGTCGATGGTCATGCCCAGTGGCAGCTGTGTGACAGCCGAGAAGGAGGCGGGGGAGCCCTGGACGGAGGGAGTGAGCTCATGGTAGTTGCCGGCCAGCAGGGTGATTTGTGATGGCTCATAATGATAGTGGCTCGGGGTGGTCAGGCGGAGGTCGGCCCTGTCAGGGATGGTGCACCGAGAGCCGATGAAGCCCAGCGTACGCACACACCTGCACAGACGGACAGGCCGAAGAGAAACGTATAAGCAGGAAAGTACCGGCAGGAAAGGGATGTCTCTCTCTGTCTCCTTAGTTGCCTGTGGTTCTTCCAGACGCCGCCATTTTCACAAGGGTACCCCCAGCAGATCTGGTCCACACTGGGGCACTCCACCACCCCCTGCATCCCCGCGACGGTCTTGCGCGTCCCCACCTCACCGGCATCGCATCTCAAAGTCACCTCTGTCCCAGCATCGTCCGTCAAAACGTTGAACTCCACAGCAACAAACGTCTTGGTGCCCCCCGGCCCCGCCGGACCCTCGATGCATGTCCGGGCGAAGCACTGGCCGTCCAGTGTGTCGGCTGTCTTGCCGGGGGTGTAGCCATAGTTCGGTCGCAGCAGGGAGGAATCGAAGCACCTGCTGCTTTGCCCGTATATGTTGCCGTAGACGGCATTCCAGGACTGGTAATTGCCGATGTCGGTACAGTCGCCGTTGCCGTAGGGCACCTTGACGGGGCAATAGTCGACGGCCGCGTCGCTGCCCGCGAGATAAGGATCGTCACTGAAGTATTGGCCCCACTGTGGGACGGTGAGGCCGACAGTGCTGAAGTCACTCAGTGCACAGATGCCTTTGGCCACTCGGTTCTGCGAACAGTGATCCCTACACAGACACATGAAAAGAGAGGGAGGGAGGGAGAGGGAGGCAACTGTGCCTGTCTGTCACCGAGTGTGTGGTACATGCAGTGCCCCTCACCGAGTGGTGTCCAGGCAGAACGGCAGTGTGGACGATGTCGCATTCAGTGCGCCTGCTCGCTCTCCAGCGATGGCACGCAGGGGCCTTCGACAAACGTGCATCCATCGCCATTGAATGCCGCGTCTCCCCATGGGAACGACGATGCCATTGAGAAGTCGGGAAGGTACCACCCACTGTCTCTAAAGAAGGCGAGTGTGAAGGCCGACAGGGTGTCGAATTTGCTGCTGACGGATGCCATGGTCTCGCTGTAGAGGAGCCGCCGCTCCCAGTGGCTGAAGGCGCTTCCCTGCCCGCCCTCATTCTCCATATAGACGCCGTCAAGATTGGGGCAGCCGAAGTACTGCCGACCTGCACCCAATAGACAGACAGCTCGTGACAACGAGAGACGCACATGGCAGCTGGCTGACTCACCGATTTCCTTGACTTTTGGTGTGGTCAGTTTGAGTCTAGTGTTGCCGTCTGCCTCAGTTATCTCTGCAGAGGTGCTGTCGGGAGCATAGAGAAGGCCGTAGGTGTTGTCCAGCGGCGGGCGGCCATTGGAGCCCCTCGCAGTCCTGGGATTCCCGCTGTCAAACCACACACACATATATCGATGTTCGGTGTTGGTGCGTCCCTCGGGCGCACCTGTCATCGCGAAAGAAGGCAATGTCTGAGCCAGAGAAGCCAAGTGCATGGAAGATCTCATGCACTACAAAGCCGATCTCGCTCCGCCACTCCTGTGGGTCGAGATGGCCCACGAGCATGTCGGGGCAGAGGTTGACGAATCCAGCAACGGGCCTGTCGTATTGGTCGCGAAAGCAAGATCCTCCATAACCCAGCCGGTTGCCCACGCAGTTTGCGGACTTCGTGGCTGAGGCATAGAGGATGAAGTCACTGTCTGATGGCCCATTGCCACCAAAGGGGGCTGCACAGTCGGACGGGCTGGAGGCGCAGACGGCCGTCTCCTTAAAGTGGTCCTCTGGAACAATGCTCTCGCCGCATGTGTTGTAGTTGCTGCCCAGCACAGCGCAGATGCTGTCTCCCTGAGACGACGTCCTGAATGAAGAGAATTGATTGAGACCACAACAAATGTCATGTCGAGGGATCGACCTCCCGTGACTTGCCATGCTCACCATGCTGCCGAGCAGAAGGGTTCCAGCTCCAGCTTGCCTTGGACAGGAATGACACTCAACAGCTCCTGCAAAAGAAAAAGGCGACAGGTGTCTGTCGGCAAAGAGAAGGTTCCATCCACACATGCACCTGGATCCACAAAGTCGCCGTCGGCAGCACGTCCCCCACAACATACTCTCGCAAGGCAGTGTCCGTGAGGGACTCGCTCATTCCGTCGTTGTGCAAGAAGATCCGCATTGGCACAAAATGAGTCACGCTGCCAGTGCTGTTGTCGGCTTCAACTTGCAGCCCCCTTAGCATGGGGGAGTCTTCCTTGTCGTTCTGGTGATAGAAGGGGTGGTCGGCATAGTGGACAGCGCCCCATTTTGTGTCGTTGAAGCTCTGAGCCACAAGGGCGCCGGCCGCACTCCAAGTGACGAGAATGGGCGGCGGCTGACACGATGACGAGTAAGATGGTGAGGCCCCATGACGCCACAGCGGCGGTCGACAAGCCACATAGCTTCATTGCGCAGACTCACGAGGAGGAACGTTGACTGCAGAACGTTGGACACAATGGGGGCCCCACAAGACATTTAACAGATCGGAATCTGGTAATGGATACGGATCGACAAATCTCTCTGTCTCACGCGCAGCGTCGCATCTGTCCACTAACAAATAGGTCCATCCATCCATCAATCCGTTTGTCATGCACAGACCCAGTCAGGCTCATGTTTGTTTGACAGACTCATGCGATGCGATGGATGCGATCAGTCGGCCACCGTTTGGTATGCGTTCTGCAGCTCCTGGATGGTGTCTGGCACTAGCAGCTTGAAGCCCAGCCCCGTGATCTTGCTGCAGTCCAGCCGCTTGTTGCCGCCACGACCTGTGTACTCACTGACACACACACACACACACACACAATAACAGCAGACACACAGAGATAGACAGACATACATCACCCCATTTGTTTGTGTAGGTGCGTGTGTGTGCTCACCCTCCTTCCCCGGGGCCCTGCCATTTGACGGGCAGAAGGCCTTCGAGCTCACAGATCTGAACATGAAGAGCACAACACACCCCAAAGATCACACCAGCATGCGAACAATGTGTCCATCTATCTCCTCCTCTCTGTCGACCGACTGACTGACCACATCATAGAGCTTCTTCCTCAGGACGGGTGGGCTGCAGACGTTGTAAGCGCCCTCCAGCCCATTCCTCAGGGCGAACAGGGAGGCAGCCACAATGTCCTTGAGGTGCGTCCAGTGCACGAATGTCTCGCCCGTCCCTGGCACTTCCTGGCCCGCCACTCTCTCAACCACACTCCTGATGGGTCTGTTGGGGCCCCACACGCCCGCCAGCCGAAGGATGCTTACGCGGATCATGTCTTGGGAGGCCTTGGCGGCATCCAACAGCAGCTGAAGACATCCATCCGTATGACAGTAGCGGGGAGAGTGATGTGTGAAGGAAAGGGGCGTGGCGTGTTGATGCAGAAAGGCAGGTTGGGTGGGTGCTGTGTACCTTCTCTGCCTCGATCAGCGTCTGTTGGTTGTCGCTGGGGTTGGCTGGCGGGGTGTCCTCGGTGACGATTCGACCATCGTCGTACGTCCCGTACACACCTAAAGGGAAGAGAAGAGCAAGGAGGCACAAGAAGATCCTATTGGGCATCCCTCTGTCTGAGAGTCAGTCTGTCTGTCTGTCTGCCTACTTCCGCTGCTGATGTAGACCACCCGTGTAGGCTTCTTCTTGCCCTCGAGGCCCTTCAGCACCCGACGCACAGTCCCCACATAGGTCTTGGGATACGCGTCGGGCACGCCCCTCATCGAGCGCCTGCACTCAAGGACAGCAACACACACACATCAACTGCATGCCTGCCTGGCAACCACATGTTGTTCTATCCGTTACCCCGGCGCCACAGCGATGAACACAGCGTCAGCCTCATGAAGCGCACCCGTCATTGGGTCTTTGCTCGCGTCACCGGGCGCTTCAGTGGGTATGGTGCACACCGAGTCGACCACGCCCTCGTCCAGCAGGTCGCTGGCCCTCTCGGGGCGTGTGGTGGTGGCCTCCACACGCACACCCTGCTCCCTCAGCGCCTTGCCCACAGCAGACCCCACGTAGCCACACCCAACAATCAGTGCTGAATCAATGGGGAGCCGACCGTTGGCCTGAACGACACGCAGCGCAGATATCCACCATACAGCATACAACGAGGCGATGCGGTGCCAGTCAGTCCACATGCGCTCGCTTACTTCTGTCGATGCGCTTGACATGCTCGTTCGTCGCGCTGTCCTCCAGTGAGCCGCGAGAGGGCTTCGTGCACGACGGTTGAGCGAGTGTGAAGACACCAGGATAGAGCGAAAGGCACTCTGCAGACAGACAGACAAGTGAGTCAGCAGAGAGAAGCGCGGCCTTGTAGTGTTTTGGATTGATGGATTGTGATGGTCTGTTGCTGACCACAAGGAAAGGTTGGATAAAGACGGCGATGAGGGGGGGCAGCCGGGATGAAAGAAGAGGCTTATTGAGCATCAGGATCAGCAGGCAATGCGTAGTCTGTACGCACACGCAAGATCTGCGCCTCTTTGCGAGATCGTCCCATTTAAGCTCGCAAAGTGGGAAGCCGCTTAGGACAGTCCGTGAAACCGCTCTCTGGGAAGCCGCAGGGGAAGCAAGGGGCTGTCGCAGGGCAAGGGGAGGAAACAGTTTCCAATCACCGAACAGCAGTTTATCAAAGCACCAATGCAGTGAAGGCTGCGCTTTGCGTGTCCAATGGTCTGCCCAACGAAGCTGAGGATGCAGATGGATAGCGGCTCAAGGCGTAGATCTGATGCAACAACTTCAAGGCAACGTCTTCGCGAGAGGCGCTCGTCAGTGTGGAGGCTGTGCATGGTTTTTCCGTCATGGTTGAGCTTGGCGCTGCTGTACTTGAGGCCTCGGAGAGCAGCTGCAGAGCTCCGGAGGACATCACGGCCTTCATTCATCCTGCCAGCGGTACTTACACGAATCATGAGTCAATCACCATATATGCTTGTGTTAACAGTGATGACTGATCATTGAATCATCTCCCTCCCTTGCAGCCGTCCTGTTATCGGCCAGAAGTGCAGCCCGTTCGTGTGTCAGCTGGGCGGAGTCGTGCGCATCTGTCGCGTCTGTCGATGGCCCGGTACCGCACCGTCGAGACGGAGGAAGAAGAAACCGGACAAGTGGTGGGCGAGGCGAAGCAAAGGAGAAGATCTTGCTTGGGAATGAATGCCACCTCCCACCTTTCACCATGTATGTCTTTCTGTGGTTGCAGGCCGCTGGCAGGGTGCGGACTGCTCCTGGGGTGATCAATCGTGACGGCAGGGACTTTGTCCTCGACCCTTTCACCAGGTAGAGAGGCACGGCAGGCTGTGAAGGGGCTGGTGATGCATCCATCTGGATCATTCATTATTTTGCTTCCGCCTGATCGTGTTCAGGCGACCGGTGGAAGTGCCTGCGACGAATGAAGGCCAGGTGGCCGTGTGCTGGCCCACACCTACCATCAACAGGGAGAGGGAACCACTCAGGTGAGTAATGGTGGACGCGTCACGCGCGTCGCGCTCTCCCCCATCTCTTATCTCTTCTCTCATCAGGTTGCCGCTTGACGCAGACTATAAGGAGGTCGTCACAGCAATGAAGGTGAGCGGATGGATGGCGCGCACACACACGCACAATCGCACCAGCCTTATTCATCGATCCCTGTGCATATGTGTGATGCAGGCAGCGTGTCTGGCGGGCCGTCAGGAGTTCCGCCGTTGGGTGGAGGTCAACTTCGACATGCTGGGCACCGACCTCAAGCAGCTCCTGGGCACTCTCAAGCTGAGGGCTCAGATGGAGGACCAGCTGGACATCGCCCGTGAGTACAGGGACCTGAGGTACATGTACATGCTCGAGGAGGAGAGGCTGGCTGGCCCCCTCAAGCAGATGATCAAGGATGCTGAGCTGCGGCTGCGCGACGGCATTGCAGTGGGCAGCACGTTCAAACCTGAGTTTGTGTCGGGCGAGTACAACGTCGAGTGAGCACACACTGCCGAACACATGATATATAAGGATGTCTGTCTGTGTGGTGGTCAACATATCTCGGTTCGTGCCTGTCTGTGTAATAGGGATTTGGCTGGCGTGACCGGTGCCGAGGTAGCTGCCTTTTGGGTAGTGGCCAAGGCGTGCCTGGCGGAGTGGGAGAACAAGCGCAGAGACACCATCGACGTCGCCATCCTGTCAGTCTGACTGACTGACTCACTCGACACACTGACAAATATACGAAGGCCAACCACTCCCTCATGTGTGTTGCAGGCAAAAGAAGATCACCAACGAAGACCTTCAAGAGCGCACCCCAGAGGTCAGAGAGAGAGAGAGAGAGAGAGAGAGTTTGGCACACACGCAGGCCACTGTGTGTGTGTGTCCTGCCTGCCCATCCATCAGGAATTAGGGGAGATGATGCCGACTCTGCGGGAGTCGCTGTACATCACTTACGCGTTTGGCCAGCTCAACCAGAAGGTCACCAATAGCCCCGCCATCATTTCCGAGCTCCCTCCTGAGCTGCGCTTCCTGGAGGTCGCTCTCAGGCTGGGCACCTTCGTCGAAATACGCAAGTGAGCGGGGGATGATGGTGCGCACATATATGTGACCTCAAGCTCTTTTCTGTCTGCGCGGGTTTTGTGTGTGTGTGTGTGTGTGTGTGTGTGGACAGGGTGGCCCATCTGCAGTTCTGTCCCACCTTCAACATGGACACCGTCGAGGTGAGTGAGCAAATGGATGGCAAGGACACAGCCAACCGCACTGACTGCCACGACCCCTGCCTGGGTGTCTGCGCGTCTTTCTGCTTCGTCAGCTTCGGGCTCGTCTGCGTCGGTTGGTGCACATAATGGAGGGGCTGCCCAAGCAGTACAAACTCCTCACCAAAAGGGTAATTGACGACAGCCCACACACATGTGCTTGCAAGCACGTGTCATTACGCTTCTGTGCTTTGTGTGTATCGTCCGTCCCATGTGTCTGTCAGTTGTCTGACATCTACCGTGCGTTGGCGGACTGCACGCCCGAGTATGAGGGGCAGGGCTACTTCCAAAGGGCGTGGCCGGTATGTTATGGACGCACGTGGCAGTGACATCGATGAGTGTAGTGTGATGCATGGGCATTAATGGGTGTGCCCGTGACTCCATGCAGGAGATCAAGTTCAAGGCCTACAAGCTCAAACCCGGCAAGAGCCTCTTCTTCGCCACAGAGGAAGAGGTACAAATACAGACACACACACACAGCCCTAGGCCGTTTTCTCCTGCATTACCCTTGCCAACCCTGCCTTGTGTGTGTGTGTGTGTGTGTGCAGTGGTGGGCTCGGAAGAAGGTCGTGCAGCCGTACACCAAGGCCCTCGACGCACTCGTGCCGAAGTCAATCAGAAAGCCATCGCCACTCTCAGAGAAATACGAAGAAAGTTCGCAAACGACATACACACACATGCACACACACACACACACTTTTGTGCATTCAATCTCTCTCTCCTCATGTGTGTCGGGTGGGTCCGTCCGTTCATATATCAGCCGGTTGGTATTTCGCTTTGTGGAACGACCAGAACCAGACCAAGTACGCCATCTGGGACATCGAGGAGCTCAAGAGGAAAGACCCCAACATACAGGCCCTGCAGAAAGAACTGGTGCGTGCGTACGGACTGACTGACGGACGCGCGGCACCTCACCTCCACACACCCAGGACACACCACACCCTCGTGTGTGTGTGTGATGTGATCTTCCTTTCTTCTGCAGGAGTTTGAGGAAAAGATCCGCGAACAGGCGTTCGGTGTTGGCGGAGAGGTCAACGAGCAGGCCGCTGCGGAGGCAGCACTGCTCGAGGCAGAGAACCCCGACAGCCCCCCCGCACCACCTGTCGCCCTGCCGCCCTCCCAGCCAAGGCGGCCTGACGGAGGAGAGGGAGAGGGGGGCGGTGTGTCAGCACCAGTATTAGAGGAGAGGCAGCCTCCTGTGTCACGAGCCACCAGCCAGCCCCCGCCGCCGGCGGCCCCGCGGCCACCTCAGTCGCAGGCTACCCCGTCGAGCAGGAAGGTGGTCAAGAGGAAGGTCGCCAAGGTCGTGTCGTCGTCACCAGCAGCACCGCCCAGGAGGGCAGAGCCATCAGCACTCACACAGGTGGGTGGACAATGCTCACTCACCACCACATGCACACACACACACACTCAGTCTGGTGTGTGTGTCAGGGCGTGACGAGCCGGCCAGGAGATGAGTTCCTGCCTCAGGAGTCGCTCGCCGCGCGTATGGTGTCAGCGGGGGGTGGTGACACAACCGATGAGGAGGCGAACGAGGAGGCGATGCGGGCGCGTGCGAAGAAAGAAGCGGCGCGCAAGTGGAGGGAGCAGATGAGGAAGAGGACACGGAGAGCTGCCAGGAAGAAGACCAAGAAGGCTTAGATAGACAGCCATGAGGGGAATGAATGGTGTGATTGATGGGGCGGGCGGGTGGATCGGTGGGCGGGTGGGTAGGTGGGGTGGGGTGGCATTTAGTTGTGTTCTGGAGTGAGTGAGACGGTTCATGCACAGACACATACATGTATGTGCCTGCGAAGGGATGGCCTGATGAGCCATTAATTTCTTCCGAATGAGCTGTTGAATGAATGCAGTGCAGCCAGCCACTCTGTCCAAACCCAGTTGATTGCATCGTACGCCTTGTCTGCAGGCCTGCCGTGTCGGCCATCAAGAAGAAGATGGAGACAAGCTGCAGTGAGAGCACTCACTCACACCGCCCTTGTGCCAGCTCCCATCCTGACGACCGACAAACGGCATCACAGACCAACAGACGAAGAGAGCCAACGACCAACAAACGTGGATAAAGCAAGGTAGACATGCTGGGAAAATGATTAAGGGCCTTCTTGTTTCCACACAGTCAGTGTTTGGTGTAGGCCCCTGCCCTCTCGGCTGCATCCTTGGGTGCGGTGCTGCCGCCCAGCGAATACGCAGCCGGCAACAAGGCTCCCAAGGATGCGGCCAAGACGGCAGCAACCAACGATATACAAGTCAGCGATGACACACGGAAACAAACAGCACGGGTGATAGTGTGACAACTGGAATGGCTGGCGGACAGGCACCTCTCATCTCCTCCATCCTGTAAGCGGCCCACCCGCACGGACAGATGCACTCAGCTGCGTGTGGGGGATGGCCATCCGAAGGACAGACAGGGAGGGACAACACAACCAGACAGCCAGGCCCTCGAGAAACAGACACAAGATTGTACACCAGCAGAGCATCCGTGATTGCGCTGTCCATCGCATGGCGGCCGTAGCGTGCCGTGCCATTCACCGATCAGCGAGCCTCACATACAAAACCACTTACAGTCAAAAGTCTCAAACTGCCACACTCAGTGCGTCCATCCATCCATCCATCCATCCATCCATCCATCATACTAAGTGAGTCAGTCCGTCGGCCCTATCGGCCGACACCTCTCTCCCTCCCTCTCTCCCTGCCTCTCTCCTAACCTAAAAGATGTTCTCCTTCTTGAGCCAGGCCAGCAGAAGGTGCCCAGCCATCACTACCATCAGGAGCCAGTTCCCGACATAGCCAATCTGCACACACACAAACAAACAGACAGACAGTGACGCTCTCCGCCCCTCCCCCTCATCGACCCGTTCTGTGCGTGTGCTCGAGGCGTGTGTGTGTGGTGTGTGGCGACCGTACCGTTCTGAATGGTTGGTTTGGTGCCTTGTAGCTGTCTGGCTGCAGGTGGGCGTGGACATGCATCGTCTTGAGAGTGAAGAAAATCGCCCCATACGAGTAGAGAGCCACCTTGGTGATGCCAACGGTCGGCCCCTCCACCGCAGCCGCAATGGTCAGCCCCAACAGCAGGAAAAGGTGAACCGTCATCTGCACACAAGGAACGCACAGGAAGACATCACATGCATGTGTTTCAGGTGAGTCGTTGTAGTCAGTCAGCTGAGGCTGACCATCTCTGTGTGGTTGCCATGAGCCCTGCTTCGTGTCAGGAGCTGCAGGCTGGCTTCTCTGCTGGTGCCGCCTGCAAGTGCTTCCCCAGTCTCTTCCCCAGTGCTGCAAACACACAACCAGCAGCGAAACACAACACACATCGATGGATGCGCCTTGTTCCCGGCGGGCGTGGCATGGCGTGGCGCACTCACCCGAACAGCACGCCGGTCTTCACCCTCGTGAGCGCCGTGATGAGCGAGAGGACGAGATTCTGGGTGCTATTGAGGACGGTGAACAGCAGAAAGGGAGCCGCAACGTCAAACGTCAGCGCCATGGCGCCAGATCTCGGCAGCAGCGGTTTCACGAAGCACCCTAGGCGGCCTGGGGGTCTCTCTCTCTGAGTGTGAGGCGAGCTGGAATCTTCTCGGTGTCATTGCAGGAAGTGTTGAGCACATCATGATGCACTTCGGCACAGGCCGACCGTCAAGTTGCACGAGACGACAGAAGCAGGTGGCAGTTGCTTCCATCGATGTATCTATCCATTTGAGTCTCTTCGAGATCTCTATCACGTGTGTGTCCTTCCCCAGAGGACACCGCTGACGTTACCCTGCCGTGCGATTGTCCAACACGACAAGCTATCGTCCGCAGCGCCCACTACAGGAAGAACACCCTCCGTGCCGAGATTGCACCCACCGACAACAGCCTGAGACGTCACCAGGTTCTGCTCCCCCAGGCAAACACAGCATACGACTCTATCGACACACACCATCCTTTGTCTGTCACGTCGTGCGTGCTGCTGCGTTTCTTCTTATCCTTCGACCAGCCCACCCACACCGACAACTGCAGCCCGCTGCAGCTGGCTGCACCTGAGGGTGTGACGGCACCGGACAAAAGATGAAGAAGAAAGCAACAAAGGCATGCAACACATCACAATAAAAGTGGGCCGGCCGACAGCACTGCGAGGACACATCCATGCATCCGCACAGCCCATCTACCGCTTCCACACTCGTCAGTCATTTGCCATCTTCGGCTGCCTTGGCCCCCCTCCGTTTGGCCACGCGGCGACAGCGCTCAGAGCAGTACTTGACCTGCACACAACAACACGCGACACACACACAACCACACGACAAGTTGAGTGCATCCATCCATGGGACCTCCTCTCCCTCGTGTGCTGCTTGCCTCCCCTCACCTACCTCGTCCCAGCACCGTTCCCACTTCTTCCGCCACTCGAAGGGCCGCTCGCACACGACGCAGATCTTGGACGGCAGGTTGCTCTTGGTGTACTTCTTGCCCTGCAGCCGCGATATCCACACTGTCCGGCGTTGCCGTGGTGGGGTGGGCACATGCCGCGCTGGAACGAACGACAGCCGGCCGTCGGTCAAGGACAGCTGCAGAGGATCTGCATGTCGGGATGCATCCTCATCATGTGGGCGGCTCTCTGCTGCCGATGCACAGCCGGGGCGACGAGGAGTCTGGGGTAGAAGGGGAGCGAACGAGAGCAGTGAAGGTGGGATGGGCTGAAAACGATAGATCTCGAGCTCCATTGGAGCAGGGGCAATGCTCAATGCCAACAGCACACTGAGTTCAACGAACGAACACTGAAAGATCGCCAGACAGCTCGCCATTTCAAAAAAGGCCGAATGTTGAGAAACCAATCAGGCTATAGCCGAGGTTATCCATATGCGGGCCGACACATCGCTTCCTCAACACCGAACTCCCTTAAACGAAGGTGAGGATGGCAGTCAGTATGTCATTGCCACATGGATTCGATTCATGAATACATTCTTGCTGTTTTCTCCACTTTCTCAGGTCATTGATTGCCTGCCGCAAAGATGCCGTATTCACTGCCCTTGGAGCTCTGGCGCGACAGGGTGCTGCTCAGCTTCCTGCTCTCGGTCTGTGACCTCGTCAACGTGCGATCGACCTCTCGCTCAGACGGGGCCAGCGTCATCACAGCGGATGTGCTCCTCACACGGCTCGACAGCCTCATGGCCCGCCACGGGGTCATCGGCCTCATCGACATCGACCGCACGGCCCCCGTATCGTTCGGCTACGTGCTGCGGGCGGCCTATGTGCTCGAGCAAGGCGCGTCGACTGGGGAGTGGCCCAAGATTGCCATCTTCATCCGGCTTGCCGCCATCTACCACGTGATTGAGCAGGGCGGGCTGCCGCTGATGCTGCCGGCTCAATGGCTGCGGGACAACCTGCCCACCAAGGCGTCGTTTCACGAGGTGCCGCTGTCGATGGCCGTCTATAAGACCATCGGGCACCTCATGAGCTTCGAGGATAGGAACATGCAGCTGGCGCAGCAGGCTGCAGGTGCGGGCCAGGGAGCTGCTGCCGCTGCTGCTGGACCGGTGAAGGATTGCACACAGAGATGCGGCCATCGTTGCTCATGGGGTGCCGCTGTGTGTGTGTGTGCCTCAGCAGCAGGCCCCTGTGTGGGTGGCTCATGACCTCCAGTTTGTCGTCGTCTCAGAGCAGGATCTGCCGGCCAACCACCCCTACCATCAGGCCTACCGTGCGACCGATCCCGTTGTGCGCGACGGCTCCTGTCTGCACCCGACCTTCACCAACCTGCTCACCCAGTGCGTCTTCAGCCTCTGGTACAGCCTGGTGCGGCAGGAGCGGCTGCTCGACGCGCGAGTCGGTGAAGACAACCCCAAATACCGGTCGCTGCTCACACAGACGGCAAATGACGATGACTGTTTCGTCATCAGCTGGCGCGAGGACCGGCGGGACCTCAACGCGGCCAACCCCCGGGAGCAGTGCATCATCCTAATGAGTGGGTACAAGGAGGGTGACTCGTTTGCGGCCTACCTGCGACTCAGCAACGGGTTTTTGTGGCTTTACACGACGGAGACGGCGGTGGGGGGCGGTGCGTCGGGGCTGGACAAGTACCCCGAGACGATGCGACATGCGAGGCGTGTGTTGGGTCGGTACGGGCTGCTGAGTGATGTGCTCGATGGGGGGACGATACACGCGTGAGGGTGGAAGGGAGGGAGGGAGGGGACGCTCCACCCGGGGGGAGGAGGGGAAGTTTTCTTGTGCTTTCACTGCAGAAGGGTCGTCTGATGGGGACACAGGGTACGGTTCTATACGATTGGCTCAATTTGGACTTAGTGGTGGTGCATTCTCGCCCTGACTGAACGAAGCACTTCTTCCAATCTCTCTCACTCATTGATCCCATGAGTCCATGAGTCTGTCTGTCACCAGTCACTCACGCAGAAACCACACCATCCCATAAGCGCCACTGTGCATCCCCCGCCCCGGCCCTCCGTACACCCACACATGGGCAGACATGCACTGACTAAGTGTCCCATCCCATCCCATTCCGTCAATTGGTCGATTCGGCCCGCGACGCGCCCAGCGTCGAGGATGACCTCCCGCAAGAGGGTTCCGCCTCCGGACTCGACTCCGGCTCCTGCCCCTGACCACCAGGGGGTGCCAGAGCATCCTCGTGGCCATGCCCTTCCGGAAGCGCCTCGGTGATGAGTCTCTCCACCTCGTCGCACTCCTCGAGCAGCTCGTCCATCATGTGCTCGAGCTCCTCGATCTGGCCGCGGAAGGCCGTGCTGTCCAGCTCGTCGGCTGAGGGAACCATTTCTGCAGGAAGCTGCACCACACACGGGGAGCCAACCAACCTTGGTGCCTGTTTCTTTCCCAGCGGCTGCTGACTGACCTCATCTGCTGTGGCGCTTGGGGCGTTTTCCGCCATGTCTCTCTGCGCCCGGGTGAGAATGCGAGGGGGCGACTCGCTGGAGGCGCACGGCAATGGGGGGCGGGCAAAGGACGGCAGGTATCTGTCCGTCTCCTCTCCGTCGACAAGAGAAGCCAGCGGGCCATCCTGCGCCAAAATGCCCTCCAGCTCCTCGGTCCACTGCACGCAGAGATCACGTACAGCCGGGGGGGAGCACACAGAGACGGACGCCACTCGTCGCCTTCTCACCTTGTCGAGCATCTCTTGCAAAGTGGCGCTCGCGTCCACTGCAGCAGAGTCCTCCACCGGCTGCGAGGGAGCCGTGATGGAAGCCGCGTCATTCAACGTCTCTGCCAGCATGCATACAATACAAGCCAGGCCACCAGGGAGACCAAAGGAACCATCGGTGCATTGGTCCTTGGCTCACTCACCTCCCGCCCTGATCCTCATTTCCTCTATCTCACGACGGAGTGCGCTGAGCCTGGCATTGCTCTCGCTGGACTGCTCTTCCAGCAGCACCTGGCTCGCCCGCAACCGCTTCAAAAACTCCTCCAAACTCTGCTGCAGACGACCGCTGTCGCCCTCAGCCTATAATGAGACCACCATTACATACACACGAAATGATGGCTATTCTGCGTTGTTTCCTTGTGTTGGGTACCCTGATGGCGTGCAGCTGGTCCTGTATGTGCTGTCTTCTCTCAGACACCTCGGCCAGCTGCTGCTGCTGCTCCTCCAGCCAGACGTCGAGCTCTTCCTCCTCGGCAGCTGCATTCGACTCGGGGGGCCCGGCCAGCGGCACGCCGTCGGGCACGTGGTCGTTCTGGATTGACCTCAGCTGCTCCTCCAGCCGCTTGTGTGTGTCCTCGCGCCACTGCTTGAGCGAATCAATGATGTCGTCGGCCTCCCGAAGGAGACCTGCTGCTGAGGAGCTGCTCACGTCGGGAGCAATCCCATCTGAAGAGGCGGAAACTGCATGACACAGACAGAGCGAATGTCATGATATGACATGGATGGGCGTCACAGCTAGTGGCGGACCTGGAGCATGGCTGTCATCATCGGATGCCTTTTGTGGAGGCTCAGCAGGTGGGGCCTCTGTTTCTCGCGCGGGCACCTCCGGCTCGGGCTCACCACCTGCCTTGCACACGGCCGCATCAACAGAACTGTCTGCCATGGGGAGGCACAAACTGCCCACACTGCCGAGACGCCGGGGAGACGGGGGGCCAGCCCCCACGCGGTGAATTGGCGGATCACTCCCCTTGATGTCGCGGTTGTGTTGAGGTAGTGGTGCATCTGATGGCGTCCATAGAGATCTGACGAATGTCCATCGCATAGCGTCATGTCCGGTCAGGCGGAGTGCATGCTGCACTACTTCGCGCGGGAGGGCTACTGGCGAAAGATCCAGGAGGTCTGCAACGAGGTGACAACCACAAAGAGGCGATGCGCCGCGCAGATCCGTCAAAACAAAGTCTGTTCGCTGGTCGTTTCCCTCTTTGTCCTTCTTGCTGGTTAGGAGCTGTCCCAGGGCACCCGCGATGAGGCCTCTTTCATCTTTTGGCGGGCGCTGGGGATGGCCAAAGAGGGTCAGGGAACGGCATGCATGACGCACCGAAGCACACATAACACAACACACGTACAGATGGCATTTTGTGTGTGTGTGTCGTGCATGGCAGGTTCGGTGAATGAGGCGCTGCGTGAGTGTGACGTGATAGTGCACCGGCGGGAGGTGGCGCTGCCGGCCACGGCGGCACTCCTCTACTACCACAAACAGGCGCAAAAAGTTGACAGGGTCAGCGAAAATGGATAGGCTGTCATTGAGCTGAGCGGGCCGACACGTGCCTGTCTGTCTGTCTGTCTGTCCGTCTGTCTGTCCATAAGGATGCGGTTGAGTCGCTCAAGGCGGCGATGAAGAGAGAAGTCGGCTCGGCCACTGACCATGTGGGTGCCGTGCCACTCACACACACCTGGACACGCGCACGAGAACCTCTCGGCATGCATGGTTCCACTGAGTTGCCACCCACCTTGTTTGTGTCCGCGTGCAGGCCCTGCTCATGGCGGCACTCTTCAATGCCTACACTGAGGTAGGGGGGGCGAATGGATGGATGGAGAAAGGAAGGAACCCTTCGCGTGTGCTGTATGGTGTGTTATGTGTTATGTGTGTATCCCTCCACCCCTCGGTGTGTCAGCAATTCGGTGATGCGCGCCAATACGTGCAGCGGGTGCTCGATTCCGTCCCCACCTCTGTAGCGCACGCCACCAAGGTCAGTCAGGGGCGGGCACCAATGAGAACCATCCATACGGACGGACAGACATGTGTGGCTTTCTCTGTTATGGCTGGCAGGGCTGGGTGGAGTATCTCGCGGGCAAGAGCCAGGGAGGCTTCAGCTCGGTAAGTAGGCCACAACTCACAGCAAACAATCCCTTTCTCTCTATGCGCCGTTAATGCGTGCAGTCGAAAACCGTGGGTCCGGTGATAGAGAAGTGCGAGGCGGCCTTCAATGCCGCAGCCGCGCACGAGGGTGGCAAACAGGTCGGTCGGTCGGTCGGTCATCATTCGTCAAATGGCGAACGGATCGACTGACTTGTTTGTTGTGTGTGTATTGCTTGCTACAGAACGTGGATGCCTTGATGGGTCGCGTCAAGGTGGCAGAGGCAAAGAGGCAGTGGCAGCAGGTCAGAGGGAGGGAGGGAGGGAGGGAGAGGAACGGAAGCAAAGCAAAGCACACAGCGCGCAGCTACTTACCACCACGTCATGCATATAACTGATTTCTGTTTAAACAGGCGTTGGATCTCGTCAACGAGGTCGTGGTGCAGTTCGAGTGGTGAGCGGGGTGTGCTGTACCAGGAATATATAAATCACCAGCCATGCTTTCTGCTTGCATCTCAGGTTCGTCCCCGGCCTGATCGAGAAGGCCAAAGTCCTCATGCAAACAGCAGACTGGTACGTGCGGCCGGGCCGGCATGTGTGTGTCCACATCCCATCCCACCAGGGCTGGCTGTGTGTGTGTGTGTGTTTCCTGTGCTGTCAGGGAACAGGCGATGGAGACGGCCCAGCGCATCACGCAGCTAGAGGCTGACAACATCGAGGTGGGTGAACGGAAGAAGAAGAAGATCAATCATCACTTGTTTACCGAATGAACCGAATGAACTGGTCGTGGCTTGGCGTTGCTGTCCAGACGTTGCGTCTGTCGATCCTCTATTCGCTGGCTGTCGAGGCGCGCAAGTCCACCGCTGCACAGCAGCTCCAGCAGCTCGTGCAGGTAGATAGATGCATGCACACACACACCACACACACACACCACTACACACCATCACACACACCATCCCTCCCTCCTCTGCCTCTGTCTGTCTGTCTCTTCGTTATGTTATGCAGTGTCTGCAGACACAGGAGCCGCGGAACCCCGCCCTGTGGCTGTCGTGCTCGCAGCTCTTCGCGCGCCTCGCGTGCAGGGACAGATCCATCATCAACGTCACTGTCAGCATGGTGGGAGGTCGGGGGCCTGGATGGCCAGCCAGCCAGCGCGCCATTTAGTGCAGCAGCGCATCCGTATGTCTGTGTGTGTGTGTGTGTGCGGTGGCCACCGCAGCTGCGTCGTGCGATGGAGATGTTGGGTGGGCGCGTGACGTCGGTGTATCTGACGGAGCTGGGGTACCAACAGCTGCTCATGGGACAGATCAACGACGCCGCACAGGCATACCACGTAAAGACAGACAGACATGCACACACCGGCATACACACTGACAGACAGGCAGCAGAAGCTCTTGTTTGTGTGTGTGTGTGTGTGTGTGTGAGGACGTTTCTTAAATCAATCATGTAGCAAGCGATAGAGAAGGACAACTCCGACGTCCGTCCGCTGCTGGGCATCCTCCACTGCCGCATCGAGGAGGGCAACCTCACGGAGGCTGAGGAACAGCTGGACTTCCTGCACGAGATACAGGTACACACACACACACACACACGCGCGCGCATCGACCCTCCTCGCTCCATCCGCATGGCCCCTGCTGCATCAAATCAACCAGGGTAGTGTTTGCAAGTCGGCAGAGTTGGCCTTGATGACGGCGTTGATCGCCTGGCGCAAGCGGCACGACAGCGAGGCGGCCGTCAAGCACCTCAACGACGCACTCACCCTGCACATCACCACTTTCAGAGGTAGACAGGCACCATATCGGCAACCCGCCCCAACACACACACACACACACTCACACACGCCGTTCATTGCGGATGTCAGCTGCGAGTGGGTACGAGTTCTTCATCAAGCTGAATGCCGACTTTATGCTCGAGATAGCCAGGGAGTACCTGCAGCAGACAGCCACTGCCACTGCCGCGTCCACCGTCCCACAGCAGCAGCAGCAGACCGCTGCCCCTGGTGCGGGAGGGGAGAAGCCATCGCAGAGCCTGTCGAGGGGCATCAAAGTCCTGGAGACGCTCACCAGATTTGTGCCGGGGCTCATTCCAGCTCAGGTGGGCCGGGAGAGGCATAGAGGCAGGCTATATGTCTCTCGACACGGTTTGGGGTGGGTGTGGGTGTCGCACAGATACTCTTGGCGAAGGCGAGGATCGCATTGAAGGATAACGACGCTGCGCAGCGGATATTGCTGCAGTGTTTGAAGCTCGACGCCGCCAACGCTGACGGCTACCTCCTTCTGGCCAAGTGAGCAAAGCGAGGGAGAGGGGGAGAGAGAGAGAGAGAGAGATAGAGAGAGGTGTGCGGTCGTCTCGTGTGTGTGTCGTGTGGATGCAATGCAGGCTGTATCACCAGCAGGACCAGCCCACGTTGGCCCTGCAGTATTTGGAGAAAGGTCTCTCCCACGACTTCACCGTCAGACAGCAGCCCATCTTCCACTTGCTCAAAGCACAGGTAGGTGGGCCCACCTAGGCGATTGATTGACCCTCCCGATGCAGCCCAGCCACACGTCTGTCTGTCTGTCGTCCGCCAGCAAGCCAAGCTGTGTGTCGTCATGTCATGTGGTGTGATGTCATGTAGGTGCATTCGTCCGCCGGTGACGACGAGCAGGCCATCCGCATTCTCGAGGAGGCCATGCAGCTCCCGGGCATCAAGACAGGCACGTACCTACACACGTCATCACATCTCCATCATCTGTCCCATCTGTCTGTCCGTGCAGTTGGTGCCGCCCCCACTTCTGGCCAAGGACACACACGCACCGGCGGCAGCAGCACCAACATCCCGCTGAGCACGGCTGACCGTGGGACCATCTTTGTGATGCTGGCCGAGCTGCTCACAAAGGCCGACAGGGTGGCCGACGCCAACAGGGTCATCCAGGACGCCATCGCAGAGTTTGCAGGCACCCCTGAGGAAGTCAGGTGAGGGCGGTGAGGTGGCACTGCACTGAGAGGCGGTGCGGTGGGATCCATGGGATATATGGGAGAGAGTGTCTGTGTGGCTGCGGATATAGGATATTGGTGACGAATGCTGAGTTGGCTGTGAAGAGGGGCGAGGTGGACCAGGCCCTAAACATGCTCAAGGCCATGCAGCCCACCAGCCCCCACTTCGCCACTGCCAAGGTGAGATGGAAGGAAGGAGGCACGCAATGGCGGCTGGGCTACGTTCGTTGTCCCTCTGTGTGTATGTGTGTGTGTGGCGAGTGTGCAGATGGCAATGGGGAGCATCTACCTGAAGCACCGGAAGGATAAGCGCCAGTACGTGCGGTGCTACACTGACCTCATCAAACACCAGCCCACACTCGCCAACTACCTCGCACTCGGAGAGGCCCTCATGGCCATACAGGCACGCACTCCTCCCAGCCCCCCTCCTCCCTCCTCCCACACACACCATGACGCCCCCTGTGTGTCTGTGTGTCTGTGTGTCTGCAGGAGCCCAGTGACGCCATTACGGCGTTTCAGCAGGCGCTAGAGAAGAGCCCCTCGGACACGACGCTGATCAAGCGGATTGGCAACGCTCTGGTGCAGACGCACGACTACGACCGTGCCGTCAAGTACTACAAGGATGCCCTGCAGCGGGACCCCTCACGCACAGAGCTCCGCAACGACCTCGCCAGCTTCTACCTCAAACTCAAGAAGTGAGAGCGAGACTCGGGATTGGCTCCATCCATGCATCCATGGTTTTTCTCTAAGGTGGGATCCCGCGGTCACTGAGCTTCAGACGGCACGTACCAAAGGTACGGCGCACATCAGGCGAGGCGCCTCCATGGTTCATGCTTGTCGTGTCGTGTGTGTTGACTTGTCAGCTGCCGAGGAGGGCAAGTCGTCCCCCGCCAGCCTGCAGGCACAGCGCAGCCACATCCAGACACTGATGCACCTGTCCAAGGTCCATCAGGCCAAGGCCGACGCACTCGCACCCGGCGCCACCCAACAGAGCCCCACGGGAGACGCCCCGCAGCCCAACGCCGCCGTCCCCGCTGCCGTGCACGCGCTGCAGGAGGCCAGGGAGCAGATCGGCCAGGCCCTCGCCAAGTGGGTGTGGGTGTAGGCCGATGGGGGAGGGCATTGTGTTGTCGGTGCTTGTCGGTTAGTGTGCCGAGTGTGGACGAGGAGACGACCAGGGCGCTCAAGACGGAGGCGGCACACATCAACTTCCAGCTGGGCGAGTACTTCAGAGAGAGAGACAGGTCTGAATGTCCGCCACACCGCAGCACAGCACCCCACCCTCCCACTCACTCATCGAGACACGTCCATGTCTCTGTGTGTGTCTGTGTCCTTTTGTGGAATGGACGTACGTCGATCAGGCGTCTAGACGTGGCCATAGGCTACTACCACGACGCCCTCAAGCATGACGACACCTACCCCCAGTGCTACCTCGCCCTGGCCAAGCTGCACTTCTCCAAAGGCGAGCTGGACCAGGGCGAGAAGCAGCTCGCGACCCTCCTGCGCATCGACCCCGCCAACGAGGAGGCCTCCGTCATGATGGCTGATCTGATGATGACCCTCGCCGGGCAGGGGGGGCGCCAGGGAGACGGCGGGGCGCAGGAGTACAAGGACGCCCTGTTCTACTACCAGAGCTTGCTGGAGAGCAAGCCCGACCAGTACGCCGCTCTGAGCAAGCTGGTGTTCCTGCTGCGGCGGGCGGGGCGTCTCAAGGACGCGCCAAAGTACCTCGCTAATGCGGAGAAGGCCTGTGCCACGACCAAAGACCCTGAGGAGGAACCAGGTGGGTGCGTGTGGTGTGTGCGTGTCTGTCTGTCTGTTGGTGGGATGGGGGACGTGTGTGTACTGTGATGTCTGTGTGGGGTGGGGTGGGTGTGTAGGGCTGCGTTACTGCCGTGGGATTCATTACCGGTGGACGTTCAAGGCGCAGCAGGCGCTGGAGGAGTTCAACTACGCCAGGAGAGACCCGGACTATCGAGAAGAGGTGACTGACTGAGTGCCTACCTGCCTGCCTCTGTGCCCCATGTCTTCTGTCTGCCTGTCTGTCTGTCTGTCTGTTGTGCTGCGTGGGTCATGTGTATGCGTCCAGTGTCTGCGTAACATGGTGGAGATATACCTGCGGGGCGATGAGGGCGGCGGCCTCGACCAGCTCGAAAACGCTGACCTCGCCGTCAATGCAGAGACCGTCAAGTGAGCCAGCCAACCAACAATCACATGGCAGCGTGTATTTGTGTGTGTGTGTGTCGACAGGGAGGTTGAGGGTCTTCTGGCGGAGCTGCAGCAGTGCGCCAAGAGCACACGGGACATGCGCATTCAAATATACCAGGTTGGTATATGGGCGGGCGCGGCAGCAGTCTAATTCTAACTCTCTTATATCTCTCTCTCTGTGTGCGTGTGTTCTATAGGCTGAGGTGTTGATGGCGACCCGCCAGAAGTCTCAGATCGAGCGCGCCCTTCAGCAGCTGCTGCAGCTGCTCACATACAACAGATACCGCGACTATGTCCCGGCACTCCTCGCCATGTCCAACGGACTCATCATGCAAAAGCAGGTCGGTGTGTGGAGTGGAAGGGCACACCACACCTGTTCTGTTCGCTTCATATGTGCCTGTGTGTGTGTGCGCATTGGGTGTGTGCGTGGGCTCAGCACAACAAGGCCAGGAACCAGCTGAAGCGCATCACCGAGCTGGCCAAAAAGGTCAGTCAGAGCGTGCGAGCGTCCTGCCTGGGATCTGTGCTGTGATGTCTGTCTGCCATCTGTCTGCACTGCATCGGTCGACAGGCGTACAATCCGGAGTTTGCCGAGGAGTTTGAGAAGGCCTGGCTGCTGCTCGCAGACCTACACATACAGGTAGCTACCTCCATAGCCACGCACACCCACCCCATTTCACATACCTGATCAATGTGGCTTGGCTGAGTGGATGGCATGGGATGCAGCAAGGCAAGCACGAGTGGGCGGCCGATCTGTGCAGGAAGGCCAAGGACCACAACCGGTCGTGCGGCAAGGCGTACGAGCAGCTGGGGCTCATCTACGAGAAGGAAGCCGCATTCAAGGACGCTGCCGCACACTACGAACAGGCCTGGGAACTGTCCAACGAAAACGCACCAACCGTCGGGTAGGTACCTGGGAACGACACACACGACACACACGAGAGAGGGAGGGGAGGGTGCATCGATCCATCCATCCATCCATGTGTGTGTCCATTTGTGTGTGTGTGTGTGTGTGTGCTGTGTTGTGTGGGTGCTGTTAGGTATAGGTTGGCGTTCAACTACTTGAAGGCGAAGCGTCACGTGGAGGCCATCAGCGTGTGTCAGAAGGTGCTCAGGCTCAACGAGAACTACCCGCGCATCAAGAAGGAGGTCATGGACAAGGCCAGAGCCGCACTCAGGAACTAGTTAACTGACTGGTCAACTAGATTTGACCTTCTTCGCGTGTAGATATCTACGTCACGTGCACGTCTGTGTGTGTGTCCGTGAGCGTCGGTTCGCGTGTGAGTGAGTATTGTGTGCAGTGCATAGGGAGGGACGTGGGCGACAGACATGGTTGGTTGTGACACTGTTAGTTGCTCACTGTTGCCAGCAAATGTTCATCATTGCACGTCAATAAGGGTAGGGTATCTCTGTCCATCGTCCGTCCATCCATGCCGTCATGCTGTTCGCGGGCGACCAAAAAGCAGTTCACTTTCGCCGCATCAAAGGCATTCATTACACGAACACACACACGCACCCCTCCCTCCATGGCGTAAGTAATGAATGACACACACCTCCATGGGATGGGACGGGGACCGGGGCGGGGCTGGCACACGCAGCTTTCGTCAATCCGCCAGCCGGCTTGCCAGCCACATTCCCTGTATACACACAAGCGTGACGCCTCTCTCCTGTGAAAGTTAGTGGGTGGTGCATGGTGTGTAGATGGCCGGGTGCCACGCATCAGGTCATAGATAATGGAAGAGAAAGACCCATCAGTCGAGAGGCCAGCAGAGAGGGAGGGAGCATGACGACGGACGGACAGACCGCCAATCGTGTCCCCTCCGTTAAACCTTCCACCCATCCATCTCATCTCATCTGTACACAGAGACATCTGTCCGTACCCGTCCTACTTAGAAAGCCGCCCCCCGCGCCATTCATTCCATGCTTCCATCCCCACCTCAGACAGTGAGTGAGGTGAGGCGAGAGAGTGAATGGAATGCCATGCCATGTGGGCCCAGCCAACCAACCAACCCTCCGGCCCCCACGAGAAAGGGGTTACCACGGCATGGCATGCGCTATGAACAAAGACGAGCAGGCTGGAGTGAAGTGAGTATGTGGGAGCGGAGCTCATTGCAAGTGAGCAAAGCCGGCCATTGATTGAATCAATGTGATGTGCAGGTATGTATGTATGTGACTATAGAGGGAGGGAGGAGTCACCCCACCCACACAGTGTGTAGTGCGGCTCGTCCGTCCGTCCATCCATCCATCCATCCATTTATGTGAGTATTGATATCAATGACATTCTTTCTGCGATTCGAGTCAAGTGTGTCTGTCTGTCTTCAGGAACAGTGGCAGAGTGTGCGTGGCTTGTCCACGGTGACGAGGCGGCGCCCTTCAATGATGGTCTGGCACATCGCGGGGCTCCCCCTCGGCACCATCAGCGAGCCACACACACTCTACTCGACATGCTTGTCGCTTCATGCACAGGCGCAAGCAACGGACATAGTCAGTCAGTCAGGCATTCATTCAGCCAGCAGACAGACAGACATCAGCAGGGTTCGTCCTTTCCAGTGCCAACGAGTACGCAAGGCACGGTACACACACGTATCGATTGCCCCACGGCCATCCCATGCATGCCATGTCCTCTCTTATAGTCAGTCTCTCGATCACACCAACCCCGAGAAAAAGAGAAGAATTTCCACCACCAACCAACCGACCAACACGCGCTGCGCCAGAAGCGGCCAGGCCACCACACACACACACACACACACGCACACGCACCGGGTGTGGTGTGCCTAAAACAGGCATCACTCACCCTTCCCTCCCTCTAAATCGCCCCCGTCCATCCATCCAAACCAGACAGACAGACCTAGGCATCCCTCCGCCCGCCGACCTTCCTGGTCTCCGCCACCCCAGCGGCACTGGCCTGCTGCTCACTCTTGGCTGGCGGTGGCGGCTGCGCGGCCACTGGCTGCTCGCGGCCGTAGAGCTCGGTGAGCCGCCGGATCCTCTGCGCGAGTGCTGAGGTGAGGCAGTGTGTGGAGGGCATCTGCCATGACCAGTTCTCGGCGATGAAGCTGCCTGGGAGGTTGAACCTGGCCGTGTTGTCGAGGGAGAGGAAGTCCTGCAGCGGCGCGAGGGCCAGCCGACCGCGGCTCGCGAAAGCCATCCGGATCAGCAGCCACGACGGCTCGCTCACGCTCGCGGGAGACCCCAACCCTGGCGAAATACAATCAACACGCATCTCATCACGCGCACCAACACTACCGCCATGTGTTGATTGCGCGTGTGTGGTTTCTTTCCGCCTTTTCTCGCCCCGTCCACCCCACCCCACCAGTGTATTCGGCGACGTGTTGCTTGTCCTTGTCGCTTGCCCGCTGCCACCACCCCAGCGCCGTGTCGTTGTCGTGCGTGCCGGGGTACACCACACTGTTGTCGGCCACATTGTGCGGCAGGTGTATGTTGCTGCTGTCGCCCCCCCAGGCGAACTGCAGCACCTTCATGCCCGGGAACCCGAAATGGTCCCGCAGCGCCTCCACCTCGGGAGTGATGAGGCCGAGGTCCTCTGCACACACGGGCAGCTCGAAGGGCTCGCACGCCCGGCCGGGCTCCTTCCAGCCGAGCTGTGTGGCGATGGTCTCGAAGAGGGCCCACCCCGGCGCCTTGACCCACTCGCCCTCAATTGCGTTTTGGTGTTTCTTGGCGTGCTGTGCGTCGACGCGCCAGAAGGCCTCGAAGCCGCGGAAGTGGTCGATGCGGATGAGGTCGACCAGCTCCATGGTCGTGCGGAATCGGTCCACCCACCACTTGAACCCGTTGCGCTCCGCCTCTGCCCTGCACCACACCAAGGCAGGCACCCAAAACAGACACACGGATGATATGATGAGTGTGCGATACGACAAAGATGTGTGTGTGTGTGTGTGTGTGTGTACCAGTTGTAGACAGGGTGTCCCCAGAGCTGTCCAGTGGCGCTGAAGTAGTCTGGCGGCACGCCCGACATGCCCAGCGGCTCCCTGGTCTCGGGGTGGAGGTCGAACTCCTCGGGGCTGCCCCACACGTCGCTGCTGTCGCCGTTGACGTAGATGGACACGTCCCCGAAGATCGACACGCCCTTGCTGTTGGCGTACCGCTTCAAGGCACCCCACTGCTCGAAAAACATGAACTGGAGGTACTTGTGGAAGTTGACGCTATCCGAATGGGTCGCCGCCGCCTCCTTGAGGGCACTCGTCGTCCGCAGCCGCAGCTCCCGCGGCCACTCGTTCCACGTCTGGCCGGGGTAGACGTCCCGCAGCGCCATGAAGAGCGCGAAGGTGTCGAGCCAGCTGCCCTGCGCCTTGCTGAAGTCGACGAACCGCCGCGAACTGAGCCCGCCCTGGCCCTTGAAGTGCTCAAACGACTTGCGAAAGAGCTTCATCTTGTGGGGCACTGCCGCGTCGAAGTCGATGTGTGTGGCGTCCTTGCCTGGTCCTGCGGGTGGGAGGGGCGTGAGGTCGCTGTGGTTGAGGTAGCCCGCCTCGGCGAGTTTGGTGGGGCTGATGAGCAGCGGGTTGCCGGCGAAGGTGCTGAGGGTCATGTATGGCGAGTGGCCCATGACGGCGTCGGTCGGGCCGAGGGGGAGGACCTGCCAGTACTTGAGGCCCGACTTGACGAGGAAGTCGACGAACTCGTAGGCGGGCGGGCCCATGTCGCCCACACCATAGCGGCTCGGCAGCGCCGTGGGGTGCAGCACAACGCCAGCCGCGCGGGGGAGGGGGGTCTCCTGAGGCATTCTTTCTCTCTGGTCAAGGAAAGCAGGGATGTAGATGTGGCCGAAATTGGCTGTCTTCTCACACGCAAGTATGCGTAACTGAGTCACAAACTTAGGACGCTCCTCCCAGCGAGCGCGCAATCCCCTCAGTGCGAGCTTTTTCCCGGGACGCGTCTGGTGACCATAGGCGTCAGACGTGCACCTGCTTGCCCTTCTCCGGCCGTCACCATCCACCCAGGTGCTGTTTTAAGCGAGAATCCTAGCCACAAATTCTCGACGAGACGCTCCGGTTCTCTCTTTCTTTTGAAATTTCATTCCCCTCCCTGCCCTTTCTTTGGACGGACGCCTTTTTCCTTGAGGGAGCTCTAAGAGCGACGCATAGAAGGTAGCAGCGGCCATGCCAGCGTGTGCACCAGGCCCTCGGGCTGCAGCGGCGTGAAGGGATCCTGTTTCCCACGTTGCTTATGTCATCGTACCGTGTGGAGGACTGCTATAGGTCGGCGGAGGGCATCAGGAGGGGGCTGCAGCCATACGAGTACCGCGACGCGCCGCAGTACGACTTGATGGGGCTGGATAATGACTATTACCCTCGCACCTACTTCAAGAGCCTCGACGACTCCTCGAAGCAGCACCCCTGCAGCGGCGCATCCGGAACGTCATGCCGGTGGAGCGGCTGCCGACGCATAACTCGATGAGCTGGCTGCGCCCGGGGATGGATGAGGGGTGCCACGGCGGGAGGTGGGATAGAATGGGCAGCAGCAGCACCCTCGTGGCCCAAAAGACGCTCTTCAAGACCGGCGAAGATGAGCTGCCGTCGCTGATGGACGAGGTCGGTGTTTTCGACGCCGCGCGGCGGCAGGGCAGGAAGCCCTTTGTGACCCTCAGATGCGTAAGTGGGAGGGAGGGAGGGAGGGAGGGGAGGCAGACAGAATGAGCAAGCCTCATTCACTACTTTTCTGCATGTGTGTGTGTGTGTGATGCATCCATCCATTCATTCAGTCGTACCACTATCGCAAGTGCCCCGCTCTCGCCACGCGCCTGAGCGGCGGCACGACCTCCATCACTGAGCAGCAAGCGGCAAAGTGGGCAAGGGACCTCCTGGTGGCACACAAGGAGCTCCTGGACCTCGGCAAATACAAACCGTGAGTCACATACATCACACATGCACTTAACTGACGTGCCGTGTAGACAAACCGACCGACCGACATCAATCAATGAATAAATGCACCCATACATACATACAAAATGTCTGTCTGCTCTGTGTGTCAGGGTGGTGTGTCTCAGCCAATTTGTCATAAGCAAGGACGGCACCATCAAGTTCGCGGACGTCCGCAATATGGTGCCCATCAGCCAGGTGGGTGACACAGACAGACAGACAGACAGACAGATGTTTGTTGGTGCATACGGACGGACTCATTTGCGTGTGTGGCTGCATTTATTTCTGTCATGTCGTCCCGTCCTGGCTGACGCGTGCAGGGCCGTGTGAGTAGCGCCGCCGCCCGCAAGACCTCCCATCACGCCTTCACGCCGCCAGAGGTACACACACGCGCACACACCCACACACACACACACACACAGAACACTTCAGTGCACTGCACCACCGATGTCCGTCTGGTCTGCCTGTGCAGGCCATGACGGGGTGGACGGCCACCGTCGATGCCGACAAGGCCACGGTCTACATACTCGGGTACGTATGTATGATGAACACGCACCGCACCAACACACGTCGCGTCGCTTGAACGTTGCACATTTGACCATGTATCGTATCTTGTGGATGTCATGTCAGGCGGGCTGTGGAGGAGATCCTCTTCTGGCATGGCAGCCGCCCCATAACGAAAGAAGCAGAGGAGTTTCTTGGCCGGGCCTGTCACCCAGACCCGGCAATGAGGCCATCGCTGGCTCAGCTTTTCAGCGAGTCATGGTACACACGTACACACACACACACACACGTGCATCCATCCATCGATCCAGTACATAATATGTTAATGTATGTATGTTGATGGACGTCTGTCTGTCTGTCTGTCTGTCAGAATTCTCTTCTCGCCGCCGCCAGCTGTGTGTGAGGCCCCCGCGCCACTGCCAACCCCCGGTGCCGCGCCGACCGCCTTTTTCCTTGAGGGAGCTCTAAGAGCGACACATAGAAGGTAGCAGCGGCCATGCCAGCGTGTGTACCAGGCCCTCGGGCTGCAGCGGCGTGAAGGGATCCTGTTTCCCACATTGCTTATGTCATCGTACCGTGTGGAGGACTGCTATAGGTCGGCGGAGGGCATCAGGAGGGGGCTGCAGCCATACGAGTACCGTGACGCGCCGCAGTACGACTTGATGGGGCTGGAAGATGACTATTACCCCCGCACCTACTTCAAGAGCCTCGACGACTCCTCGAAGCAGCACCCCTGCGGCGGCGGCATCCGGAACGTCATGCCGGTGGAGCGGCTGCCGACGCATAACCCGGGGCTGGATGAGGGGTGCCACGGTGGGAGGTGGGATAAAATGGTGTATGGGACGCAGGAGGGGCTCGCCGCCGACCATCCGCAGAGACAGTGTGCCTTATGTATCATTGCTGCCTACATTTTATATTTGCTGGCAGTGTATTCACTCGTATACGTGTTGATTTGAGTGGGGGGCCGCCACGTGCTGAGACATGGAATGAGCGATGAGATCGCCACACGTGCGCGCATTGGATGACTGGGTGCATTCAGATGAAAAGGAGAGGCATGCAGTAGCGCGTCTCTTGGTAAACAGCTTCAATTGATGACCAATTGCGCAGGCAATGAAGCAACAATCCAGCACTTTTCAAGGACGGAAGCAAGAATCTCCATTTCTTACATTCCGAGTCCGTCGGGCGCTTAGGGTGCTTTCGGAAACCGTTGCTCAGGAAAGATCTGACTTTAGAAAGGGCACGGCACATTGCCCAGACGAGGCGAGGAGGGACGCTGGAGAGAATAAGAAGTGATCTTTTCTCTTTGAAAGGATGCTTCGAAGATGTTTGGCGACAACGAAGAGAAGAATCGTTTGCTCTGATCTGCAATGCAACAGGCAGATGGTGCGGCATCTCACTCGGCCAGCGGGTCTGCTCAGCGACCATGGTCCCTTCTGCGGCCAGCCAAGGCGGATGGGAGCTTTGCCGGGGAGGCGGCGTTTCAGCACGGAGAAGACGAGCACGGGTGTTGCGGGGCTCTACTCGATGACGTTTGTCAGCAGCGATGGCAGCAAGAAATGGGAGTGCGAGTACAGGGTGAGCGGAGCGGGAGAGCACACTCATCGATGCGGGGGTTGAGGTCTGTGTGCATGGGATAGGTGGTGTGTGCGGTGTACTGTATGCAGGCTGGCATGACGATTCTCAAGGTGGCCAAGGACAACGACGTGGACATCGAGGGCGCATGCGGGGGGCAGTGTGCATGCTCCACGTGCCACATCTACATCAAGAACGTGCGTATCGTGTGACACGACACACACAAGGACAGGACAGACAGACAGGCAGGCGGGCGGAGTGAGTGAGTGAGCTGAGCCCCTCTCGTTGCGTTGCACATGGCATGGCGCTGTACTGTACATGTGTGTGTTGTGTGTTGGTATGTATGGTTGCTGGGTGGGGTATGGGGTATGCAGAAGGACATGTTTGACAAGTTCCCCCAGCCGGACGAGAACGAGCTGGACATGCTTGACATGGCACTCGACATGGACGAAGACACGTACGCTACGTGCTGCAGACACCCGAGCACACACACACACACTTATTCTCCTGGTTGTGGTGTGGATTCGTTCAGGTCACGGTTAGGCTGCCAGCTCAAACTCACCGCCGAACACGATGGTCAGTCAGTTCAGTCAGGCCAGGCAGCACAGCACAGCTCACCAATTCAATTCATTTGCCGACATGCGGACAGGATGGTGTGGTGTCTGTTGGGTGTATGTGTGTCGGTCAGGTCTTGAGGTGCAGCTGCCCGCAGCCACTGCAAACCAGCTCCTGTGATGTGGTGGCTGCCCGCCGAACAGGGGACAGCTTCCCCACTTCATCATGATGCGTCCGTGTCTGTCGTGCAGGCCTGCATGCCTATTGCTCGGTCACCGTTTTGTCCGAGTGAGTGTATGCTAGCATTTGTTGAAAGGTTGCATTGCATCATCCTGTGGTCCGACAGCTTGTAATGTGCCCTCATGTGCCTGACCGATCGGCTCTCCTTTTGCCATACATCGGCACGACTTACGACTTGTTCATGTCATTAACTGGACCTCTCGCAGTCACCGTGTGGCCTTCCCACAGCCCCATTGCAGAAGGCTGCATGTGTCGCGATCGCGAGCCGCGAAAGGGGGAGTGGAAGAAAGGGGCCTTTCGCAAGATCTCCCATGGTGTCACGCGCCATTTGACATCCAGATCGCTCGTGTTCGCTGCCGATGACTGAAGAAGGCGTGATAGGCCTGTCCGCCACGCCGATGGCGTTCGAGAGTGCCGTGTCGTCCTACATCGACCCAGATCTGCCGGCCGCCAACCACCTCGAAGCTATCAATGGCATTGTCCTCGCCGTGGGAGGCGGCAGCAAGTCCCTCCTCGATCTCGTGCTCGTCCTGCAGGAGGGACTCACCAGCTCCATCGCGCAGGAGCGTCGCCGGTCGGCACTGCTCATCGGGGAGGTGCTCACCAAGTGCCCGCGGCTGCGAGTCAACTGGAAGCACCTCGACACGGTGGTTTCGTTCTTCTCCGAGAGGCTGGAGGATTGGTACAGTGTGGAGGGTGCACTAGTCACGTTCAGGGCCATCCTGAGGTCCTACCGGGGCGTGCTGATTGACGACGACAGGGACAAGGGGCAGGAGGTGGTCAAAAACATCGCGCAGGCGGTTTTCTCGAAGGTTCATGGACCGTCGTTCGCTCAGAGCATCCGGAAGATACTCATCGAGGTCAGTCAGTCAGTTTGTCGGTGTCGGGGTAGGCGAGTGGAGTGGAGTGGAGTGGGCAAACAAACTGTGTGTTGTGTTTGCGCGTCCGTCCGTCAGGTCCTCACTCTGCTGCTGACAGAGTATGAGGAAGAGATGAGGTCTTTCGAATTCAAGCTGGGTAGGTACCTAGGGTACATCCATCGGAGACAGCACACGTGCATGGCATGCTCAAATGAAACAAACGCATGGCATGGGCCGTGAGTGAAAGTGAAGTGTGTGTCGTGCTGTGATGTGATGCAGGTAATGAGGTGTGCAGTCAGATCGAGGACGAGAAGGACCCCCGGAACCTGGTCCTGACCTTCCCCCTGCTGCGGCTGCTCTTGACCAAGTATGAGGACCTCATCGGCGCCGAGACCGCCCTCGTCATCAGCGACGTCACTACTCTCTACTTCCCCATCTCATTCACACCGCCGCCCAACGATCCCAACCAGATCACCGGTCAGTCAAGGAAGGAAGAGCCACCCACTGGCTGACACATTATTCAGGTGCTCATGGCTGTGCGTCTGTGGATGTGTGTGGATGTGTGTGTGTGTGTGTCTGTCTGTGTGTGTGTGTGTGTGTGTGCAGAGGAGATGCTCAAGAGAGAGCTCAAGCTGACGTTGGCGTGTCACCCCCGTCTGGCCAAGGAGGTCATCCCCTTCTTCATCGACTCACTCCGGGCCGACAGCGAGCAGACCTGCGACACGCGCAACGAGACCATCGAGGCCCTGGTCTTCTGCTGCGAGCAGTACGGCAGCGAGGCCACCCGGACCCACCTCCCCGCACTCTTCGACTTCCTCAAATTCGAGATCATCGACAACGAGTGCAGCTACCGCAACAAGCTGATCGGCCTCTGGCGTGACGTGCTGCGCGTGGCCACGAGCGGGCTGCCGGCGGGCATGACGCCTCCTTGGTTCGAGGAGCTGCTGACGCCGTCGCTCAAGAAGGTGTGGGCCGTCATGACCAAGAGCGGCGGCGACGAGCAGGAGAACAAAGGCAAGGAGCCCACACCCAGCCAGATCAAGGTGTGTGAGGAGCTGCTCCTCGCCGCGGCGGCGTCCTCTCCCGTGGCCTTCTTCCATGTCCTCACCTTCACCTTCGACGAGGCCGTGCAGCGCGTCACGGTCATGCTGCAGCAGCAACAAAACAAGGCAGACGAGCCCACTGAGGATGCCACCACATCATGCGGCCGCTGCACGGTGGACTGGTCGAGCATCCGGCTGCTGCTCGACTACCTTTCCAAGACGCTCGGCAGCGGTGAGGCGCTGCACGTCGATGCGGCCAGGGGGTCGAGCCAGTGGACATACAGCCGTCGGCTGCCGCTGGAGGGGCTGCGTCTGCAATGCGAGCTGCTGCGTGTGCTGGAGAGGGAGGATGAGGGCAGCAAGGGGGCTGTGACGTACCTCCAGAGAGACGTGAAAGAGACGCCTGGAGGGAGCGAGGGCGACCACGACACGATCGGCTTCCTCGTGTGGCGGCTGATCGGCCAGCTGGCGGCCATCTCGTCCACACCCGACAGGCACGTGGCCACCGTGGTGCGGGCCATGCTGAGGATACTGCCGCTGCCGGCACCACCCTCCAGCGACGCGCCAGGTGTCTGTGCGGAGGGGGGAGACCAAGACAGCGGCGACCAGGAGGGTGGTGAGGACGAGGACGCATTGTTTGCCACCAAAGTGGCGATCGACGAAAGCTGCATTGGGCGCCTGAAGGACCACATGAGGACCTTCGTCCGGCTCAGCTCGACGGCCTTTCTCTTTGACCACGACCAGCAGTCGGCGGCCGACGACCACTTCTTGATCACCATCCTCACAGCGATGGAGGGCATCCGGTGCTCACACCAGGAGGTCTACCGGTCCCTGGTGGTGCCCGTGCTGTCGTGCCTCTACAAGGGCTTCCAACACATCTACAAAGCCGCTGCTGCAACCGGGGTGACGGCCAACGGACAGGCGGCAAGAAATGGCGGTGAGGAGACCGTCGTGGAAGGAGATGAGGAGACGGCCATCAAGGCCTTGAGGATCGGCCTGGCGCTCTCCAAGGAGCTTCTCTCTTCACCCTCTTCTGGCGGCACAGACGACCTGCTGCTCGCATCCTTCAGGTTTTTTCTGCGGGAGTGGGTGGCGTCGATGATGCAGGAGAGTCCGGCCGCTCCGCCATCGGCCATTGAGGTCCTCACGCTCGGCCAGCAGACACTGACGGAGGCACTGCAGCGATCGGGAGGCTCTCCCCTTGCCGACGGCGTAGCAAAGCAGCTCGGCCCCTCGTGGTTCCAGCAGATTCTGACGCTGCCATCTTTCCGCCCGACGATTGCAAAGCAGTCGGTCAGCGGCAGCCTCTCGCCCGAAGCCGAGAGGCTCCTGATGAGCACCGGACGTCTGCTTCAGGCGCTGGTCGAGGCCTTCGAAACCAGAAGCAGCCCTGATCGACAAGCGGAGATCATGTCAGCGGTGCTCGAGCTGCTGTTCAAGCCGCCAGATGCCTCTTCCCAAGCCTCCCTCCATCGCATGGTGCTCCTCAAGGTGGTGCCCCACCTGTTCCCCCCTTCATTGAAGGCGGTGCCTGAAGGCACGGCTGCCGGGGGCATGATGACCCCCCTGGTGCAGCTGTGTCTCGCCATCTGCTTCGAAGAAGAGGGGCAGCCCGACGAGGAAATCCCGAATGGGGCGCTCTCGACGGCTGAGGCGCAGTACCTGGCCGAGCTCTCCACGAAGGACGTCAAGACGGATGCTTTGCGGACGATCGGCGCGGCGGTGCGGTGCAGCAGCGAGGAGAGGCTGACGCCTCTGCTGGAGAGAATCGACAGGGAGCTCAAGGAGACTGTCCACCAGGAGAATGAGGAGCACCGGCGGCACGACGAGGCCTGCCATCACACACTGGAGAGGCTGCACAGCGGCGTCAGGTGCTACGGGCAGGTCACCAAGGCCCTCTGGATCCGACAGGCGGCCCCCGCAGCCTCGCCGCAGTCACGCAAGTCGGCCATGAGGTTCCTGGACGGCCTCACAAGCCTCCTGGACTCCAGCAGCCGGGCCGACCCCTACGCCGCCCTCGCAGCCCCCATCGCATTCAACATTTTGTGCCCGCTGCCGTTGGAGTCGGGGAGCGACAGTGCGAGCGAGGTGTCGGGTTATGTGCTGCAGAAGGTGTGCCACAAGGCCATGGCGAAGCTGCATGCCTTCCTGCTGCCGCCACAGCTGCATCTGGCGGGGGTGGCGTGCGTGGCTGCCATGCTGGCGAGGCTGCCGATCCAGACCGTGGTGAATGACTTTCCTGATGCGCTGAGGCTGACGGTGCTGAACGGGATGGACCTCGCCACACGCCGGGTGCCCCTCTTCCCTCCCACAGGCAGCCCTGACGCAACCCCTACCTCCACCGGCATCAGCCCAGGACCATCACCACCAGCAGCACCCTCAGATGATGCCGTCGACGCCCCCCACTCCATCCGTCTCGCCAAGACGGTATCCTCGTCCGCCAAGGAGAGGCGAGGAGAGGGAGAGCCGCCTAGCGAGGAGTCCCAGCTGGTGTCAGAAGTGACTGAGGGGCTGAGTGTGCGCGTGGTGCTCCTCCTGCTGGCCTGCCTGAAACTAGAGCAGCAGACCAGGCCGGCGGCCGTGAGGGTACCGGGGCCGCCAGCAGTGGATGGGGAGAGGAAGGGTTCCTCGCCCGTTGACTTTGTGAATGAGGAGCTGGGGAGCCTGGTGGATGGTCTGCTGTGGGTGGCGGTGAGGGGCCCGCAGGCTGGTGCACGACTGCTGGCCGTGGAGGGGCTCATGCTCATCAGCCAGAAGCCGTACCTGCAGATACGCAAATATGAGACTAAGGTGAGCGAGGGGGGCACAGGCGCAGGCCAGACCAACACACGCGATCCACACACGTGATTTCGTTGTTGCTGCTTGTGTTGTCGTGTGTGTGTGCAGGTTTTGCGTGATTTGAGTAAGGTGTTGGATGATTGCCGCCGTCCCGTGCGACGTGCTGCTGCCGTGTGTCGATCCAAGTGGTCCTGCCTGGACACGTGACCTTGTTCCTGCCTGCTGACGTTTGTGCGACGTGCTACGTGGCGGATTCTTGCGTTGCATCGATGGGCCGTGGATCGCCGTGTGTCGAGCAACTCCGAATCATGCCGCCGTGATTTGGGGATGCTTTCACCGCGGCCGCACGACTGATCGATGCTGCGAAAGGATCTGTCGGCCGTTGACGAATGGAAAGGACGACGCATGCAAGTGTGTGGATCTCGTCAATAACGATGACATGATGGCTATTATCCGTCAGTGCGTCTTGCCTGCAACATTTGTTATATTACAACACCGGTCCTTCCAACGGTCGATATATACGCCCAGCCACACACACACCCATACAGTCATGCAGACTCTCGCTGGCTGATCTACAGGAAGAGAGGGCGGGAGGGGAGGGGAGGGAGGGAGGGAAGTAGACGGAGGGGCAGGGGGTGGGGGGGGGGGGGGGG